AGGAATCAATCATTACCTCTACAGTAAAAGAATGACTGGATTCGACAATAGCTTGAATAAATCAATGTTTACCTGTGAAATCGATTCATACATTTCGGTGAGTGATTCCGATCCGCAAAAGAAATGTCCGGATTCAATGATGGGTATAAATAAAACAAGAAATCTAAAAAACGAAAAGAGGAAGAACGAGAATGTAGGAACAAGAAAAATCACGTAGAAGAAGATAATGAAGGAAGAAGAAAGAAGGAAGATAATTTTGTTTAATATACGGACAAAAATTATGTGGTTGGATTTCTAAGAAATTGAGTGGTTGTGATTTTTCTATTATTTTATTTAATAGACAATACTCCATTAATTATAGAAGTAAGTCTAGTTAAGTTTTTAATTTGTTAAATTATATTTATAATTATTACTTTAATAAAATGAGATTAATTTAGTGGGTGGATAAAAAAAAAATGAGACTAATTCCGTATAACAGAGGAAATATTATTTTACTATAAAAGAAAAAAACAATTATTATATATTTTTTTTAAAGCTCGTATCCAAATATTTGAGCAACACTTGGATGACAGAGGATGCGAGGCCCCAAGTCCTCCTCCCCAAAATTCGATAGTGTGCCATCGAATTAAACGATGGTCAACTGGAGGACCAAACCAACATGGTCCCGACAAGTATTCCAAATAACCTTTCCGAACGTCGAGCAAAATATCCTCATCACCGGGTGAGGGCCTGTGTCGGAATTTGCCAAGAGGCCATCTAATCTTCAGTATGAGACTAACAGCTTGTCCAAGTATGAACCCCAAAGTGTTTAAAAACACTGTGAACTAGAATTAAAAAAAAAAAAGAACAACTTGCATTGAAACTAAACTAAAATGTTGAAGAAAATAACAATGGAATGTGTCAATGTGGTTATTTCTCATTCAAAAGATGTTACTAAATAATTATTTTTACTCCTAACTTTTGCCCTTTCGTTTCTTTTTTTTTTTTTATCTTCATGTGTTTGGAACCGTCTTGGACTTGGTCTATCTATTTCTGCCAGAAAATTTGAATAATTTGATCTTTTTTTTGTTGGTGAGGGTCTCGCGGAGGGCCATGATTTTTTTTTTTTTTTTTTTTTTTTTGTTCTAGATGACCTTATTTTGGAACTACGTCATCCGTTAGAATGTTCTTGATCAGGTATCATCTTTTGAATTATATTATCAAGGGAACATGGGCTGACTCAACAATATCACTTTGTATAAGAGGAAAAGATGCCTAAAATGCCATCCTCTTCAGTTTGCGGGTGTCACCCTCTAATATGTGAGGGTGTTTCGGCCTACGGTATTCGCAAGACTCTTTCATTCAAGGGTGTTTTTTTAATTTTTATTATTTAAGTTACTTATTTATTAATTTAAAAATATGTATAATTACAATTTTTTTAGTTATTTTACTTTTTTGTCAATTTTTTTTAATTATTTATAAAATACTCCATATGTCCCACGTAATAGGGACGCATTACCGTACGAGAATAAGGTAAAGTATAATTAGTAAGTAATTAAAATTTGTATTAGTAAAAATAATTATTATATAGTAAAATAATTATAAATTAAGATTAAGATAACTAAATAGTTTAATTAAAATTTAAAAAATTATAAAATTTATAATGTGATTTAAGTGTATAATTATATTTCGAAAAAAATGAAACAAATTATATGGGATAGACGAACATAGAGACAAACTATGTGGAACAGAGAAGTAATTTATTATATATATTGATATTTTAATTTTGTAATTAATATTTGGTATTATTTGGAAATTTAAATTTTTTTATAAAATAATATATAAAAAAATATTCTTTACTTCTGCGAAATAACAATGTAAGAAAAGGACTATCCCTTAAGAAATAGAATTATAAATTGAGAAAATATATGCAAATAAAATAATTAAACAATAAAAAATAATTAGAATATTAATTGTAGCCATCAATGTGTATATATATACTAGTGTCCTTGGTGGTACGCCACGCCACACAACAAAAAATATTTTCATTTTATTTTATAAAATTGTTATATTTGTATTCTATTTTGTTGAATTATTGATATATGTAATTTTCTATATTAAAAAGAATTATATTTTTCATATCGTAAAAACTAAGATATATGATAGAAAAAAAATCAAAAGATAATCTTACATCTGTACAGCATAATTTTTATTTACTGAACAACTAATGTTTGACCATCCACAAGGCTTTGGATCTACATAATCTCAATCGGTCAACACAATTGTCGGATTTTCGAAGAAATACTTCAATTCTTCCATCCAAGGTCACGATCTAATTGCACAATCACATTAGCATTTTCTCGAAGAATTTATCTGCATTTCATAACACCAAAGTTACAATAATTCAAGCATTAATCAATAAATTACAATGTTTTTTATCAACAAATTAAACAACTTTCAATATAATCTCATAAAACAATTCAAAATAACTAATCTAAAACAACATAATCTTGTGAAATTCTAAACCAAAAGTGTGCTCACCTTTTCATGTGAAATTCTTGATTTTTGGTGAGGCAGAAAAAATCCAACAAAATTAGATAAGTGAAAAATTAGTGAAAGAATAAATTACCATCAATTGGTCAATTATGAAACTAAGATATATTCATTGAAATTAAATGACCCGATTTTCATACCAAATTGGTCAACGGTTTTTAACCATAGTGCCTCTCGCTTCTTTCAAAATTCATTTATAGTCATGCCCTATACATATTATTAAAAGGCCACAACACTAATACAAAAATGATGAATCAATTATAACTTTATGTAGAAATTACGAGTTTAAACAAATAAAAACATTACAAAATCATACTTTGAAGGGTCAAATGTAATTTTACGTAGCCATTCTTACTACAAGGTATATGTAGGTGGCAAAAACATCAAACCAAACACCCAAAAACAATTTTGGGGGATTGGATTGGATTTACACTATTCATTCAATTTTTTCCCCCAAAAAATATCAAATCAAACACCTATTTTTCATTTTTTATATTATACTAAAAATCAATTTTACATTCAAAACATCACATCAACACCTATTTATATCACATCATACAATTATTCAAATTCAAAATTTGTAGTCATTCTTACTACAAGGTATATGTAGGTATTAGGATACATATAAACCAACTATGACATGGAAATTAAACTTGCCGAATAATGATGAATATTTGTTTGTTTTTTAATTGTATGAAAATTATAAATAATAATATTTTAATGTTAAAGTGGGCTAAATAAAAAATAAGTCGGCAGTTAGGGTGTTCATTCGACAAAATAATTTGAAATAATTAGCAAATTATTATATGGTATATAACATATTACTAAATTAGCATATTAACCTGAAATAATTGGCAAATCGTCATAAGTTAGAAGACATATATTGTGTTATACACCCTCCGTCAAGTTAAAAAATATACATATTTTTATTTTGGAATGTCCAATTACATCACATCATTACTTTAATACAAAAAAATAAAAGTAAACTATCATTATACTACTTTTAACTACCTACTATAATTCGAATACTATTATTTCTTAAACGCGCCATAGATAAACATATACTTCTTAACCTGACGAATAAAATATAATATTTGCTATTTTTTATAAATACATGTTGTATGGATCAAACTTTATTGTTCGGAAATCAAAATACATTTTGCTAAACTTAGGATATATTTTTCTATATATAATTATAAAATGTGCTATTTAGCTTATGGATTAATAAATAATAGCTACTAAGTATTTTTCTTTTTATGGAATATTATACTCGATAATATAAACTATTATTTAAATATTTCTAACTTTTAGAATTAGGAGCATTTTTTTTTTTTTAAATTTTACTTTTTTTCATTTCACTGTCAAGTAAAATATAATTAATAAATAAGTTTAAAATTATAAAAAATAATTATTATATAATAATATTTAAAATATAATTAAAATATAGAATTATTTTTCTGAAAAAAATAATAAATAAAACAGAACAATATGATTAGTAAATAATTAAAAAATATATTATTATACTCTCTTCGTCTCATAAGTAAATATCCATTTGCTTTTTGCACGTAATTTTAGAAATATTAGTATTATATTGAGATATAATATGAATAAAGTAAAAATGACTAAAATAACTTTATTATTAGTATGTGTGATATAAAGGTAATAAAATTTGTGTAATATATTGTAAGTTGTAAGGGCATTTATAATGTTAGGTAGATAGTACAGTTATTAATAAAAAAACAGAAATGGATACTTTGTCATTGGCACATATTAAAATGAAAAAATGGATACTTGTTATGGGACAGACTAAAATAGAAAAATAGATATTTTGTTATGGGACGAAATGAGTATAATATAAATAATATTTAAAATATAATTAAATTGTAAAATCATAGTATTTTTTTAAAAAATAATAAATAAAGTGGAACTGTTATGTAATAATAATAATATAATATAAATATTAAGTGTATATATATAATATATATGTAGATATATTATGTATATTTATATATGTATGTGATTGATATAGGATAAAGAGAAGAAAGTGAGATAAACGCATTTATAAGTGTAGAATTCAATGTATATATCTCTTGTATTTATAGGCAGTAAATGAGGGTAATAATGGTTACAAAGCATTCACATCCCTCTTATACGTAGCAGATACTAGATTAGTGTATACTTTGTAAAACTCTGATTTGTAAATAATTAAAAAATATAAATTATTATTGATAATATGTAAGATATAATTAAAAATGTAGAATTATTGTTTTAAAAAATAAGAAACAATAAAGAAGGTGGAACAACGAAAAATAGTAAACAAATAAATATTAGATTTTAATTCTGTTCTTTCAGAAAAAAAAAAAAAAAAAAAAAAAAAAAAAAAAAGAAAAAGAAAAGTTAATCGAACCCAAGCAATATTACCTGACACGCCCAGATAAACACACCAAAGGAATCCTAATTTTGAAAATAATCGTTACAAAAGGGCAATGTCGGAGAGGAACGGAGCCACCGGAAAAATGTAAAAATACTCGTAACTGAAACGAGCAACCAACAGGCGCAACAATTTGAGATTCGATCGACCCGCCCGCCGGTGTGCTGTGCAGTGACATGTACAACCTTCGACCTCTGATTATTGATCTCATACTCGCACATCTTGTTTATGTTCTTCAGTTGTCTCCTCCCATCTTGGCCATCAGGTATAACAATAATTCAGGATCGTTTTCCTTGTCCATGTTTAGTGGGGTTTATTAATCAACCCTCATTTGGTTATATATTAGATAAGATTACATTTTAAATCTGCGCTTTTGTTGATTTGTTTGGAAGATTTTTTCTTTTTTTGCAAGTCCCATTCAAAATTCCACCCTTTCGCCCCAAGCTACTTTTGTTTTAACTTCTAGTGTGCGTTGTTTGGTAAGGTTTGGTGTCAAAAAGTTTGATTGGAAACTGTTGGTGTTACAGGAAGGATGTGAGTCTTCAACTGAAGCATTATTGTAGAACCACTGTACAAGGAAGATTCTTTCTTGCTGATGATAATGGTAATTGGCTAATTTATTGAAATTAAAAGTGGTGTTAACTTAGGCCGTTTTTAATTATGATATAAGGAGGTGATAGATAGTTGTAGAGCAGGACGTGTAACTGATCAGTGGTGGAATGGCGAGAACATTATGTGTGAGACTGTGAGAGTGAAGTTCTTTAATCTTTAATCTCTGGCACAAGTAAATTGCATCTGTGGTTGTTTTGTTGTATAATATATCCTCAGCTACAATATAGAAGTGATCCCTTTTCCTCGAGGATGGCATTGTTTTCAAGTTATTCCTTCGATTATCATAATGATCTTTCTGACTTTGGGGTGATTTAGCTGTTCAAGAATGCCACGGAAGGTTTGTAATATCGGTATTAGGTGGAAGGGTGGAACTGAATTTTGAAAAACAAAGTTGTGTTCTTTTTCGTATTACTCAGATTCAGATTAACAAAGGCTAGTCTTTATAGATATGTGTTCTACTGTAGATCTTATTGCTGAACAATGCAACATAGATGAAGATGCAGCAGTGTCATTCTTGATCTTCTCCATCCTGTTCCTACATTTTAGTTTTTGAACCTGGACCAAATTAGGACTAAATGTCTTTGTTCATGCTAAACGTTAGACTTATATTAGTTTCCTATTCATTTTAATGGGTCTTCTTGAATAAGACTTCCCGTGTTAAAATATTATCGGCTCATTCTATTCCAATCAGTAGACCTGCTGGACATGATAATCCTAGTTGTCTGACTCAACCAAACATTGACTTCACCCAACTTAATAATATTATAAGTACTGAGGTAAATTAGCAAAGAAGCTTGAATTATAACTCAGCACCTTGGGTGGTTACAAACCTTTGAAATTTCACAAAGGATTCAATCTTTGAGTGATGGCTTCATCAGAGGAGCTGCAGTAGTTCTTAGACTAGCAGAGGTACAATATATTCTTAGAATTTATTGAACAGTTGTGTGGCTCATCCATCACGTTATTAGTTTTATGGTTCCTGAAGCTACAGATATAAAGAAATATGCTGGTTGGGCTATCACATAGACACATACCAATTTCCCGGTTCAAATAATTCTATTTTAAATAAATGAAATAATATATTGAAAGAAATCTTATAATTTGAACCATCATGACCCTGCTTTGTCTTGATGAAATTGGTTTTTGTAGGTTATGTGTGCGATGCTTTCTCAGTTGACCCACTGTATCGTTGTTGCCCAGATAAAGGAAATCGATTCTCTTGTCAGTGAGTTTTATCTTTTTAGTCTTGTGTTTCATACTGCTCTCTCATTCCACTGTTTTTTGTATTACTATTTATTGTAGTGAATTGAACAAAGACAATGCAAATTTTTATTACAACCAAGTCTGAAGATTTTTAGAAGAAATGAAAGGGTAGACACAAACAATTGTATACAAAATTAAGTGAATATAGGGATTTGTAAAGTCTCGTTGTGGATATCACTGTTACCTCCTGGAGAAGTGTTTCTTGGTCAGCTTTAAAGTAATTATGTATCTTATGAAGCTTTGTTCCTTTGTGCTATCCCATTTTTCTTCTGAGCTCACAGGGGATGCAATCTTGTTTCTCAGTGTTGCAACTCATATGAGTTCTGTGTTTCATGCTGCTTGAATCCAACTATGGTAATTCTTTACTGTCTATTCGTACTTATGCTATTCATTGTATTTTGACAAACAATTTATTGTTTCAACAGACTCCCAAAGAACAGGCACTGAAGGTTAAAATAGCAAAGCCTGCAACAGCTGGTAATTTGAACTTCAGCTGACAAAAATATTTCTAAGTCAATTACGGTTGTTGTGCTTAACTTGGTTGAATTCTGAGGCAAATTTTTGTCTATTTAAGGTGTGATTACTTGTTATTTTATTGTGTGCGCTTTTTTTTTTTTTTTTTTGTGTGTGTGTGTATGTTTGTGTTATTTTTGTTTTATTTTTATTTGTTTTGTTGATGTTTATTGAAATAAAACAGTTTTTATATCTATGTTTTGAATAAAAAGATTAGTTTTGGATGTGATATTTTTGGAGGGAGATTGCTAAATTTAATAGTAAAAAATTGTGATAAAAATCACAAGCACACACACCCTAAACTATCAACTCTTCATTTATGTATTTAATCTGTCTGTACTATACAGTCTTCCTCCCTCTGAGGTGTAAATGTTCCACTTGATTCTGCATATGCTGGACGCATGTTTACAATATCTTCGTTGTCAGTTTCTAATTGATTGCTCATTAGTATTTACTGAGATGATCTATTCATGACAGGAACCTATGGAAGTATTTTTGATTTTTGTGCTGGCAGGTGTCGCCATAATTCTGAGAGTGTGGTATGCTTTTGTGCTTTCATTCTTAGTTTCTTTGGTGACTCTAATATGAATTAATTAAATTGTTGTAATATAGTAAATGAAATTTTCCATATGTAGAATGAAGTTTGGGAATTTTTTTGTTCGTTGTTGCTTTTGGGAAGGATCTAATCTTATTTTTGACTTAATACGAAGGCTGAATGGCCATTACTAAATATGTTCTTATGAATTAAAAATTAGCAAACAAGATTTACAAATTTTATCTCATAAACAACTTCCTGATAGACAATCTATTTGTGTATAGAAATATTTTGAAATTGTTCTTGTTGAAGTTTAATTTTGTTTATTAGTTTTGGTTTTTTTTTGAATAAAGGTTTGGTGGTGATATTTTATCAGTGGAAATAATATGTTTTTATAGGTAATCGCGATGGTTGCATAAGTAAAAAAAATTGAAACCAGATTCCAAAGTGACAGAGCCTTCTTGTTTCGATGATTGGACTACTAATAATTTGAACAAGTATCATTGTATAAGAAAATGTGATCTGTATATTAGTTCCTCCACAAACTTGCCCATCGCAGTATTTGGTTGAGAATGTATGCATTAGCATTGATCAGGATAAAATATTATAGTATTATGTGAGAGAATGATTTATATTTGCATATACATGACAGCTCACTTCAATATTTCCTTGATGTCTGCTTTGGATATGGATATATCCCAAAATAGTGAGTTTACTGTGCTGCTGCCTGAAAATCTATTGTAACTGTGAAAGGCTATGATATTCAATCTGTTATATATCGTGAATTGCGAGCTATACTATCCATAGTCCAATTTTCCTTGTCTTTGCCAAAGCCTCTCATGTTTTTATATCGATTGTTCAATGGAGCTTTTTGTACTTGCTATTATTGCCTTAATTCAATGTTTCTATAACATGTATTGCCTCAGATCAGTTTTACAACCTTTTATCGATTAAAATATCTTTTATGCTACTGATGTGCATAATGGTGTTTAATATATGTATATATATTTTTTTATTTATTTATTTTTTTTCAGGTTCACGAAAATGCCTATCTAAGTGAATTTCATCATTGTTTTTCCATACCATCTAACACTTCAGGTTAGTGTATGAAAATTTTTGCCACTCATTTGGGTGTAACAATGAACTTAGCTGCTAGTGAGTGGTAGAATTATTGTTCTGTTAACATTAACAGCCCATCTTCTTGGGAAATACTTATTTTAGTTTTTCCATTTGTTCTCTATTTGTAAACATTTTTCTAACAAGTTCCCTCAGAAGATTCCTTTTATTTTACAAAAAAGAAAAAAGAAAAAATCAATTATCCTTTTGGTTTTATCATCGGCACTATATACTTCTCCCTGAAATAGACATGCGTACTAGTAGTAACTAGTAAATTATTCCTGTTTCAGTTAGGAAAATAATCCTGTTTCCACGCAATCATTGCTAAGTTAGGTCACCATCACCATCAAAACTAAGTGTACTTAAATTGCACATGCTTGCCTATGGATTAAAGTTCCCATGCTGGGGCATTAGAAGATATTGTGTTATGACGATTAGAAATCTTCTTCAAATGACCTAACTTGATATATGATGGGTATGTTTCTTTCTTTGTACTGGGAATTAGTGTGTTCGGATTGTAATCAGTTACTTCCAACTTGGAGTTATATATCTGCGTGATTTTCCAGATAAGGCCAATATAATCACGAATGTGCAGTGTCAATCTTTTGTGCTCCATACATGCAGCCATGGCCTCATGAGAAATGCTAATTAACAAAGTTCTGTGTGTTGTATTTGTTTTACCTGTTGAAACATATATATGCAATTTGAGTGCTTGATTCATGTTGTTCTCAAAATCTCTCTGTAGTTAATTTGGTAGTATTAGTAAGTTTAACAAACCAATCCTTGTTTTTAGTTTACTTACTACTACATATGTAGCGTATACTAGTGTCCTTGTGTTGAATTTGCAGGTTGTATAAAATGCTTAATTTGGGTATGCGATAAAAGTAACACAGATTTGCCATCATCACTAGATTAAAGTATCCAATCTAGCTCTAGTAGGGCTTTGAACCATTGACAACATAGCTTTGAGGTCAATCTTGTATTGCCTTTTCCTCCTTGCCATCTGTATTTTCAAGCAAAATTTCACTTTCTCAAACCTCTTGAACACAAAACATAGACTTAGTTGTATCTTGTCTGTACTGTCGTTAGTTGACTCACACGTGCGAGGTTCTGTTCAATTCATTAACAATAATCCTGAATTCTAACTCACCCACTTTGCAAACATGTAAGAATGGCATATAACTCCAAAGTCTATAACTAAGGTATTTGCTTTTACCATTAAACTAATAATTGAAACTCTATTTATTGAGTGTATTACAATGATAAATATGAATAGAATTTATATTCTAACATAATTAGTTTTACATATTCCACCAATTTGATAAGAACCTACTTTTACTTATTTATTTTTTGTAAGAGCCTACTTACTATCTCATTATATATGAAAACATGATATATTATTATTATTATTATTATTTTGAGTTCCTTCTTTAGTTGAACCTAGCAACAACCTAAATTGTTCTATTCGGATCATCCAATTTGTGGTTCTGTGAAAATGACAATCATAATGAATACTAATTGCATTCTAAAACTATGAGAATATCACCAACACCTTTAGTCAATTTCTTCAACTTGAAATCATATAGATACATATTGACCAAAAGTTCCAAGAACGGTGGACTATGGTATCTCTTGGCGGATGCAAAACTACTCTTTGATGCGGATGGTGACATTGATCTCACTATTGCATATGATGGCTTCAACACCTTTATTTTTGTAGTGATTATGGCTTCTCTTCCATCACTGGATGGCCTGCAACAATTGAAAACATCCTGGATTTTAGTTATTTATGTTAGGATAAAAATTTTGTTCCCATAATGAATATTGTAATTACACCATAAAGAAAATGTGAATTTTATTTGTTCAATTAAAAAAAAAAGAAACACATTTGACTTTTACAGTAGTCTTCCTTCACGTGAGATAATAATACTTAAAAGAAACACTTGGGGTACGTTTGTTTATGTTTTTTCTCATTTTTTTAATATTTAATCTTTTATTTTCGTACGGAAAGCATCACAACTTTGCATCATTTGCAATATGTATGTGGAAGAATCAACAACTGAAAACATGTAGAAAATTTGTTTTGTTTTTCAAATTTATCCATACGTGGAAATGGTTATTGATCTATAAAGTTGACAATTGGGATTCAAAGATGCAGAATGAGGAGATATCTTCTTTTAGATCTAGGCCAGACAGTTATATAATATTATTCTTACATAATGGTTCTGATAAACTATAACAGATTTTGCTTAACTGTATTTTGATGACAGGGTCTTCAAGTTCTCTGCTGGAAGCAAGGTTGGCTGGCATCAATGTCACTGTTGGACGGTACATTTTATCCCAAATGTTGTTTAAGTTGAAAGTTTAGAATGCCTGATAGTTGGCAAATGTTAATAAAAATTAATCTTCTCTATGTAATAGACAAGGGGAATCGTGTGACTCAGTTTGCAAGTCAAATGGGCAGTCTTGTGTTCCCAACAAGCTTCAACTGCTTAATCAGTGTGAAATGTAAGATGAATCCACTCTAGTGTAGAGCTCATTATTCTATCATTAGACGTGTATTATCTATGATTTTGCATCATCATAACATTTGTGCTTTGGTGAGTTATTTTCCTACATTGTTTTGGTTTTTCCATATATAAAGCTCTGATATTAGCGTGATTATTGATTAAGCTGATCCATCTACATGCTATAAATATGATATTTTTCAACTATCCATTGTAGTATAATTGGTGTTGTACAGGGTATTGGAACAGCACCTGTAATGTTTCTCCAAACAAATTAAAAATGATGAATTTTTTGAATGAGGTTAAGTAGTTAAATTTGGCTACACTTGGAGCCTATTATTTGTCGGAGAAGACTTGCTGACTTTTGGGGCATGTTTCATGAACAGTATAAACATAATGAAGATGTTTTGTTTATTATCTTTGGAAGTTTTTGTATAATTATTGTGTATGAATCATGTACTCTTAAACTTGGAGAAAAGAGGAGTTGGTCCATTGTAAAGTGTGATGCATATATGTGTGTGTGTGTATATTATATATATTAGGTATTGAGTGGACATACAATCGTTTCTAGTATTAATGCATAAAAATTTGTATGATCTAAGTTTGGATTAAATTAATAACCAATACACACATACATACATATGTGAATATTGGTAATAATTTCATTTTGAATATAGGAAAATTCATTATAAATAATGTATGTGTTTTTAGTACGTATAATATAACAAGAAATATCATTTCAGACCATTTCTGTGTCTTTTATGCTTAGCTTGTGTTTGTGGGTTCTTTTGTGATAAAATAGCTGCATCCTAATGAAACATAAATGTTAATGGCATAAAAAAGCTTGGACTTATGGTATCTGTATTCTAACAAATTGTATTAGAGATAGTAATGATTCAGTTGATCATTATTTCAGAAATATTATATTTTATCTCGAGGTTTTGGTTAATAATAGGGTGCTTTCATGATTGCCCTTCTCAAGTAAGAAATTTCATCTTTTTCTTTTTTTTTTGGTCGTTTTTCTTTGTTAATCTCTGTTACTTCTTTTGTTGTCATACTCACGCATTTTGAGTCTCACATCTGACTGCTTAGAATATTGAGAGTGAATTTTGGTAAAATCTTTCCACTTGGTTAGCACATTTCTGCATGGTTGACTGAACTGTTTCTCTAGACTTAAAACTGATTTACTTCTGCTACAATTAGACTTCAAAAATATATGAGCTGCAAAGGGGGGTGCTTGGCTAGTACCGGATCTGACCAACCTGCTGAAGTTGTTGATGATGCCCCTAAACATCTGGTACGATTTCTATTTTGAGCTCATTACACATTCTCTATTTATAGTTTTTTATATTTAATAGTTGAATTGAATGAAGCATGAGTAGTTGTACATGACAGACTGAGTGAATATATAGTGTTTCTGTATAACTACTACTCAAAGAAAATTTGAATGGCGCTTTCTCTCTTTTAGTAATGTATATCAGTAAGTAAAATCCTTTGGTAATGTATGAAAGAATACAATGTTCACCACCATTATCAGCTAAAGTGTGTACTTATGACATGATCATGTAAGTTATGCCACAACCAATTAGTTATAAAAATAGCATCAAGAACCTTGAATTTCAGTTAGGTATAGATGCAAAATTGGTTACAGGATTCACGAGGCAAAAAATGTCTTTGTATCCTGTTACATACCAAATTTTGAGCCAATTGGCTGAGTTAGACTGTTTGGTGGCTAGGATAACCGTTAGGGATAATTTAATCACTCCACTACAGTAAATAGAAGGAACAAATGCTGTGTAAAATGTATACGTGAGGAAACAAAATCATTACCAGCATATTATTTTCACACAAAAATCACATAAGAGATACTATATAAACTCAAGTTCAAATAAAAGAAATTCAAACACAAATCAAACAAACCTCATTAGGTGCACGAAAATCAACACCTATTTGTAAATTTTACCATCATCTTCCAGTTGACTACCTCTATTATAACCTGTGGGGATTGGAGGGATAGTCGATTCTTTATAGTAGTATAACCCGAGAATCTTGCTTTATTTTTATCCTTATGTTCACTTTTCTTAACTAAGTCGCATGTCTGTATCAGACATGTTCCAGATTTCCTTGTTTAGTGCACTTTCCTAATGTGCAAAATTTTGATTATCTTCTCCACGAATTCTGAATGGCTTTCTGAATGATCAGAACCCCGGTGCGTGCTTGTATACGAAAACACAATCTACACTCTCTTGTGATGGTTCGCACAGGCATACGACAAGACTTTGCCCTTGCGCATAAAGATGGCAAACAAATAAGCCTGCATTGTCTTTGCCCCTCCAATGCTAACACCTCTTTAAATTATCCATAAGATTAATGGTTATATTGTCAAGATTGTGCAAACCTGAATTTCCTTTGTAAGTGTAAGCTAAGGTAATGGAATGTCATTGCGTCATTTAGATTAGGCACATTAATGTAGTCTCTTGACAAACGCGTCATTGATTATTGATTTGTTTGGTTGTGGTTTGAAATTGATTTGAAATGAAATATTTATTTGAGTTTTTGTTTAAATAGTATTTCTGGCGTGATGTTTTGTTAGGTAAAATAGTGTATTTTTATTGAAAACTGTGTCAATTGAATAGTATTATGTTTGGTTTGAAATAGTATGTTACTATGGATAGTTGATAGTTTTGCATAACTCTGAGATCTTTTTAGATATACATATTGGCTTCGTTCACGCAGTGTTTTTTTTTTTTTTTTCTGCTAAATTGCATAAAACCTACATGTGGTTTTATGAAATTTCGCCAAATATCTATACTTTTAAAACTGCATCAAACACTCTTATGTTTCATAAACTCTGCGGTTAATCCTCTCGGCGGTTCTTATTTAACGTTGTTTTTTTTTATCTAAATGCGCCTAAAAGAATAAATTTTAAAATCTCAATTTCTAAATTTCTAAAATTACAAATATATTCAATTTTTTATATGAGACTAAATATAAAAAAAATAAATATATTTGTATTTTAGAGCTTTAGAAATTGAGATTTTAAAATTTATTCGCAGTTTAAGTGAATTTAGGTCAAATAGTTGAGGGGTTAGACTTAGAGGGTGTTTAGGAAACAACGTTTTGAAGAATTTTTAGCTTATTGAGCCGCTTTTAACTGTTTGACCAGTCAAAAACCTAATTTAGGTGTTTGGTAAAGCTTTTTTAACCCAAAAAACTAATTTCTGAAAAGCTCATGACGTTTTTTAATTTTAATTTTGATTATTCCTTATTTACCCTTAAAATTTAATTATTTATTTTATACATAAAAATATATTTTTATAGCAGTATTTATTAATTATTTATAATATATTTAATTTATTAAATTATATTTTTATTTTTGAAAATTTAAAATAATTACTATTATTAATTATTACATATAAATTATTTCATTTGTAAAATATATAAATTTTTAAAACTAAATCAAATAGAAAAAACAAAGTTTATTAATTTATTTATATATATTAAAACAATAATTAACATAATAAAAATATTTATACAAAAGATTTATTATTTTATATTTTACATAAATTTAATAAAAATTTATTATTTTTTAATAAAAATAATTTTTTCAGATCTAAATAATAAAAATAAAAATAAAAATAAATATTTAATAATATTTTTATAATTTTCAATAATTAATAACAAAAATTCTCATAAATTTCAAACTAAAATGAACAAAAATAAATATTTTAAAAAATAACGTATCAATGTCCTTAATAATCATTTTATATATAAACAGCTAATGTCAAATAGTTGTTTTACTGGATACTTTAATACAAACCGCTAATTTTTTTTTAAGATAAAATGATTTTTTATGTTTGGTATTGGGGATTGGGGATTGTGTCAAAATATAAAATATAATTATTTTAGGTTGAATATTTGATTTTTTTACTTTTTGTAATGACCTTTTGACTTTTTATAATTAATTGTTTGACTTTTGTATAGCCTATTTTGAATTTATTATTATTATTTTTGAAAATTACAATTGAAAAATAGTGTTAAAAAACCAAATTGAATATTATTTATGTATGTCTAGAGTTTTTTTTTTTTTTTTTCCTTTTTTTTTTCTGAGTTGTTTGTAGCCAACTTTGAAATATTAATAATAATAAAGAAAAAAAAAAAGAATGATGCAGTAGAAGAAAAAAAAAAAAAAGGTACAATTAAAGAACCCCAGTAAGCGAGACTAGAAAGACTTTGATTGTGCTTGTTTAATGTTTACATAATACACAATTTTTTTAAAATATTATTGAAAAATATAACATATATAAATAGAAGTCACCAAAAATATACTTCTTTCATCACATTTAACATAGTTCATTTTATTTGAGATTTTTTATTTAAGGTAACGGTGTTTAATTAGTTAATAATAATGAGTTATGATATTATTTTATTATGTTTTTATATGAATAGTATTGTTAGTAATTTTAAAATAAGAATTGATATGTAATTAAAAATAAATTTGAAATATGTGTTTAAATATTGTAAATATTATATCCTAATAAAATATATGCAATTGATATCATTTTTTAAATAATAAAATTTTAAATAATACAAATAAAGAAAAAAATATATTTATTTATTTATAATTAAGATAAATTAATTTTATAAAAATGATAGAGTCGTAAATATAGCTAAAAATATTTATTTATTGAGGAGAAATATATAAATAAAGGAGTATGGAGTGGATATGCATGGTGTGTGATGTTATATATTATAAAGTTAATTAAGTTGATTTATATATATTAAATATGTTTAGATTTAGTAAAAAAAAAATTTGAAAAAAAAAAGATAAGGAAGATAATTGAAATGGGACTGAAAGAGTATAAAATAGTCTCTTTATAATATATTATAAAATCAATTAATTTGATTTATATTTGTTAAATATATTTAGATAGAAAACTATCAATTGAAATGAGATTTACAAAAAAAAGATAATGAAGATAATTGAAATGGGACTGAAAGAGTATAAAATAGTCTCTTTGTTATTTAATATGTGCTTATTTTTATTTGTCTTACCTAAAATATTTCCATTTATTTTTTTAGTAAAAATATAAATTTAATTTATTACTAATTTTGACAAAATCAACAAATCAATATGTAACTATTGTATTTTATTCAACATTTATCTATAGCTAATACAACTAACTTTATTATATTCTCTCTTTATTTTATTTAATTTTTAACTAAATTTTCAAAAATATTTCAAACTATTTTTTTTTTTTTTGCTTAAATCAGTTTTTGCAATAAAATATTTATTTTTAAAATTTTTATGTTTGGACCCAAATGTTCTAAATTACATGACAAATAACTTTTTTTTATTATTTTACTATAAAAAACAAAAAATAACCAAAAGTACACGTCCACATTAAAACACATATCCATATGTTTGAACATATTTTTAGGTGAATGAGGGTGTTGGGAATTTGTTCTCCTTATGATCAATGATTCGAGTTGTTCCTAGAATCAAATAATTTTCATCTATAATATTAGTAGATTAGTATCAATTAATTAGAATAATAACTAAAGGAATAAAGAAAAAATAGTGCTATAATCAAGGAACCTGTAATCTCACAAAGAATAATTCGATAGGTTCATATCGCAGTTCACTCTGTGCCAATTCCAAGATTTCCAACGTGGCAACACTACAAAAGGGGAGCAATAAAGAGTGTCGACACCAAGGAACTTGTAATCTCACAAAGAACAAAGGGAGCACAAAGTCTAGGAGGGAGGAGAACTCCAACGAGCACAAAGTAAGAAAAAACACAAATGATCGTCACCAAGAGACTAATCTCTTCCTCTCGGCTCCCACACCCCATCCAATAAATTCACCAACTTATATATACAGCCGATGAAGAAATAGGTAAACCCAAGGATTTAAGAACAAACCTTGACGATCAACCACGAAGAAAGAAAATAGAAACGAAACAAGAGGAAGCCAACCTGGTTGAATCACGGGAAGGAAGGAGCAATGTGGTTGAATCATAAAAGAGGCGGAACCGAAAGATAACCTCAATTTTGGGTGAGATTTGATTAAATCAAATCCGACTTAATTTGTGTTGGAACGACGGGTCGGTTTGGGTCCGAGTTAGGTGGGTTTGAGTCGAACCGGAAACAAATAACCCAACAATCTCCCCCTTATTTTTAGTCGATCATCATGGTTGCTTTGGAGGGCATAACAAGAATGGAAATATGCTTATATCATCGTCTTTATAGTGCAACTTACCACTTAGTTGCACACAAAGCATATAAAAAACACACAGAAAACATATTTGCAAACAAAGTAAACAAGACCAAGTTTTAAAATCAACCCATCGAATTGCCAAAGTTAACATACAACAAAAAACTTTAGACTAACATCATATGTAACAACAAAAACATGCGATATAGAGCTACAAATCAAACACAAACTTCTCAAGAACAATATTAGGTAACCATTCATTTTCCCACATTGGATTAATAGTAGAAACATTATCTCTTATTATAAACACGTTACCTACGACCTCATCATCTATAGTCATATTCACTTCATCACGTTATTGGTTTTTAAAGTTTCCTTTAGGATGTAGACATTGATTTATAAAATAATTTTTATTCCCACAATTATAACACTTCTTATTCCTACATTTCCACTTACCTTTATTCTTTTAATTGTTAATTTTTTTTTGAATTATATGACTTACCCCTAGCTAACAAGACCTCATCAACTACTTGTTATTCTTTCCAATTAACCTGCAAGTCTAATTCCTTACTCTTTAATCCACCCATAACTATTGCAAGTCTAATTCCGTAAGGGATAGCCTGGTGGTGTGGAGGTTGGATTTGTGACCGTGAGGTCATGGTTTAAACCTCCAACGCCTCAGGTCACCTGCCACACATGGTTCACTTAGTGTGACTTGGCTTGTCGGGTCTAATTTGCAGGGTATTAGGTTTGTCCGGGGGTTTACCTAGTATGCACTTTCGGATAGCGGCTGCGGGTTCTCATGTCATAAAAAGAAAAAAAGTTATACTATCTCTACTATACTTAATAGCCTATTTGACATCAGAAAAAATAAAATAAAATAAAATTCATGAATGACATTCAAAAGTACAATAGTGGTGTATTCATCAATATTCTTGTCTCATGTCTGTTTAATATCTTGAACAAGTTCAGTAAAAAAAAGTAAACCTTAAACTCTAAAAGTGTATTTGTTTTGTAAAATAATTTGAATGGATATATATATTTTTTCTTTTATGTGAAGTATGAAAAATTGTATAAGAAATATAAAAATAATGAATGTACGTGGTATATTACTATTTTTAAAAAAAAATATATGTATTTTTTGTTAAAAGAAAACATTTTAAATATATTAAAAAATCATTTACTTGACAAAAAAGACAATTCTAAATTTTAAACATAGACAATAAATTTTAAGAGAAAAAAAAATAAATAAAAAAAAGTGAATAACAAGAGAATTATAATTCTTCTTCTAATTAATTTATGTCAAAGTTAAAATATCAATGTGCTATTGTTCTTACTCAATATAAAATAAATAGAGTGGATGGTAAAAGAAATTCTCACTCCTTTCAATTTCAATAGTCTCTTTTTTTTTTTTTTATTTATCTTATTTCAATTGATACGTTTTTTGGATGAGATTGAGTTCTGATTTTTTATAATCAACGCCCATACTGATTGTATAAAAATTACTTATATTAATCTATTTTATTAAAATATATAATTAATATAATTATATACACTAGTATTTATCCAATAAGCATGAGTGCTGATTCTAAAGTATCGGCATCCAATCTCATCCCCACATTTTGATTATTGATAAGATTTATTGGAATCTAAACTATTTAACAAATACTCCCTTCAACTAGTAACAATTGACATAGTAAAATTTACAAAATCGAAATATACTTAACAAATATAAATCAACTTAATTAACTACATAATATGTAATATTATACATTGTGTAGGACCTAATTAATACCGTTTTATTTCTATCACTCTTCTAAAAAGATAAATATTTAAAACTTCACATCTTTTATATAATTAGTTTATGTTAATTATAAATAAATAAAAGCAATTTATTTATTAATTGTATTATAGAAAAAAAATATTCTTTATAAAATGATATCAATATTGATATATATTTTTTATTACACTATAATTTTTAAAATATTTAATATATATTCTAATTTTTAATCATATATATTAAATTTATTTTAAAACTATAATATTATTAATTACATAAAAAATAATAAAATAATATCATAATTCACTAACTAATTAAACATCGTTACCTTAAATAGCGTGTCTAATGAATTGCGTCAATTATATTGGAATGGAGAGAGTGTAAGTCAATTTAATTAAATTTATGATATATAACATAGTACATCATGTAGATCACTTAAAACTCTTTTATTCCTATGTTTTTTTCAATAAATAAATATTTTTATTTATATTTAAAATTTCTCATTTTTTTATAAAATTAGTTTATCTTAATAATATTTTTTTATAATATTTTTCTAAAAATAGTATTCATATTGTATATATTTTTGTTGAAATATGATATTTAAATATTTAAATACATATTTTAAATTTATTTTAATCATATATTAATTTATTGTAAAACTATAACAATACCATTTACATAAAAAATAGTAATAAAATAATATCTTAATTAAGATTATTAACTAATTATATTACATTACTTCAAATACTACACTAATGAAACAGACCAATTCAATTTGGACATAAAGAGTTCTTTCCACTGCAACAAAAAAAATATAAAGGTGTGTTTGTTTTGTAAAATAGTTTGATAAAAAGAAATTTATGTGAAGTATAAAATTTTTATAGAAAATATAAAAATAATATTATGTCATATATTAAGTTTTTTGAAAAAATATATGTATATATAATTTTAAAAAAAAATGGATAATTTGATTCAAATCTCATTGGTATTTTAATATATAAGTTGCAGTCCCTACACTTTTTTTACACATTGCACTCTTTATTTTTTTTTAAAAAAAATTGGCATTTACTCCCTACCCTAATATCAATTTCAAAATTGTTCTTCCACCCCAAAATGTATTTTATCAGTTATGATATTTCTCTCTCTTTGTTAGGTTCTTTTCGAGCAAGTAGTGCTTCTGACTAGCCTGCGGTTCATTCACGCATGATCGATAGAGAATCTGTGATGGCAAAGACACTGGTAAGGGGAAGTTTCAATTCCAAATTCAAATTCTAATCTTTAGGTTTATTTCAGGAATACACTGGAAATGAAAAGTTTCAATTCTGAATGTTATATTGTTGTGATAGTTTTGTTGATTGAATATGATGGTATTGTTAGGGCTCGCAACCGATCTTGATAAATACTTCACTATTGTTTTACTAATTGTTTCCCTATTAGAGATTATAATTACAGTAGTTGCTAAATATGTTTCATTATAACCTTTTTGAGACAATATGTATACGAGAAAAGCTTTGTGGGGAGAGAGAGTGTTGTTTCGATTTTCTACTAGTATGCGTAGGCATTTTGTCAAGATACTTTTTTCTGGTGTAATATACTTATATTTACTATTTTATACCTTTGTTGTATGATATTGTTAGTTGTATTTGTTTGAAAATACCATAGTTTTTTTTGGTATATACTATGACTACTCATCTATGAACTTTGGTATTTATTTTATGTACTTATATATTGAATAATATTAAAATCGTGTTAGTGTCTACCAAAAATGATAAAATCTCGGAATAGTTTTGCTGGAAGTTAAGATTTTTTCTTCACGTTGATGGTTGATAATTGAAAAAAAAAATATATATATTTTTCAGATAGACATTCGAGATTTCTCAAAGCCCACCACAAATATTGTCTTTGGTATCTAGTCGTCAACTTCTGCACTCAGGTATGTGTAGAATATATTTTTTTATCTATTATAATATGTACAACCGTATTTACATTGTTTATAGGTAATATGAAGATATTTGATGCACAATAAGAAATGATGGACGTTCGTTTTCAACAAAACCGGTTATGCCTCCCTATAGAAAGATTTTGAGCAGCATATAACGTCTAATGTGGAGGTTATGCCACTTTTCCGCAACTTCATTACACAACCACAGATCCAATGTTGGACGAATTCTCTCTTCTAATCGACCCATTGTGGGATAATAATAACAATATAGTCAAGTCGTTGAATAATTGGATGTGCTCAACAATGTCATTGTCCTTTTTCGAGATGTTTGATTTCATCTGGAAACAAGTGGTGTCTTTGTTGAACAAGCATCGTTACGGTTGTCTAGGACACAACTGACAAAGTTGTAGTGAGGCTTTATTGTAGGTATTTTCGATGTGTTTCTCGTGACTGTAATTTTATTTTTATTTTGGAAGATTGTACATTCAATTTAGATATGTTTACAAGACCACTCTAAAATTATTTGGAAATTAGTTTAAACTATTATGTTACTGAGCGTACTCACTATTATATTCGGGTACGTATTAGTTTAAACTAATTTTTCTAAAGTAAAAAATAATGGTATGTGAATTCACAACGAAAGTACGTAAAATTAACAACGAAAGTACGTAGCAAGTTATTGTAGTTACATGAAATATAACTAAGAGTAAAGTTATTAACAACAACAGTACATTACACAAGATATTTGCTTATTAAATTCTACGTAATATTTGAAATCCTTTATATCTCTCAAGTATTCATTATGATATAACATGACTCATAGAGTACCCCTATCATTTATCTAAAATTACATTAACATAAAATTGTATTTAATTTTTTCAATGAAGTTGTTACAATGAAAATATGAGTATGTTGTGACATTCGGAGAATATATTCAGTAATATCTCTCATAGGCCATGTATGTAAGGGTGGATGAGAATATCACTTAGAATAGATATGGCATAATATATCATGTGGTGAACCGTATTAATAGATATTCTAGACTTAATGCATAACTGATGACGTATGATGTTTTATGTATTGTGATTGTCCTTCTATAGAATGTAAACACATAAAAATGAAAATAAGGTACTTCTATAGACAAAAAGATCATTTATAATTTAAACAGATCAAAATAACTAATACTCAACATGACAGTGTGATACAATGTCAAAGTAAAATGACCTGTCACTGAAGTTTCTACAAACCCAATCGAAGCACAAATAAAATAGATCCAAGCACACCATGAATTCAAAATTTCAATCATACCAAAAGTATAAATTTTAACTTATTTTTTCGAACTCCGCCATGGGAGGTCTTTTCCGACATCGCGAATGAAAATGAGTCATAGGCGGTGAATGAGTATACAAAATGAAGAAACTGCAGTTACTGAAGTGAGTAAGTTTACAGAATGAAGAGACCATACGCTTTGGATTTCAACAGATCGTTTCAATCATGATTACGGAAGGAGGCGGAGCAGTGAAAACGCAAGAACAAAAAAGACCGACAAATGGAAACTTCTACGACAGCAAAGGTTCTTGCGGGGAGGCTCAACAACGATTACTTCGGTAGGGGCTTCGACGACGAGGGACAACGTGCAAGGGAAATGGTTTGAAAGAAATATAACATCAACGACTTCAAATGGTGGATTCTATTAGAGTTTTGTCTTTTTTTTTTTTTTTAATTTAAATTTCTGTAACTGATTTTAATATATAAACATAACGGAAGTACTAATTTTCAGGCATATGACTCTGACATTTTTTTGGTAGAACGATATAATTTTAGAGTACATAATTAAATAATATAAATTTATATAAAAATAACGGAAGTACATATAATATTCGTTATTTATATAGTAATTTTAAAGGTAAAATATATATTAGAAAATAAGTATAATTGAAAATAAAAAATAGTAATGTAGTGCTAAAAGGAGAAATTAAACTTAAATATTTTAAGCTCGGACGAATTTAAATTCAAATGTCTTTCTAAACAACACACCCAAACTTTCTCTCTTCAAATAAATTATTAAAAAATAATAATAAAAAAAGTAACACTGTATGGTGTGTACCAAATTTTCCAAATTGCCAAACTGTCAAGTCTGAAGGTACAACTCACATCCACATTCCACATTCCACATCCCACGTCATCTTATGATGGCTTTTCTTTTGAGAACACTGTCCGGGTCCGGGTCAGAGGAGCCCGGCCCGTTTTTGCAATCTCAGTTGTAACATAAGCTAGTCGCTGTGGCCGCCAGCTCGCCTCCGTCGGCGTATTCCCCTTCGCCTCTTCCAGTCCTCCTCTCCTCTCCACTGTACTTCTCAGACTACAGTATCCATAAAACCGCGATTGAAACCTTGTTCTTCCTTGTTATCCTCTCTTCTTCCTAAAATTTCCATGTTTCACCACTCCAATTCAAAGTCGCGCGACATTGTCAGAAGAAAAAGATACTGAAGCGTATTCATATTTTGAAGAACACAGATACATCATGGGTCACAGTTCGAAGAAGAAGAAGAAGCGCGGAGGAGGAGGCGGTGGGCGTCGGTCGCAGTCAAAGGATCATCATTCATCTGCCTCTGATAACTCTGATGTCGTAGCCGAGGAAATCACCGCCTTGTAGGTCCTTCGCTCTCGTATGATACAGTTATTTTTTTTTTTAATTTTTGATCGGAGCGTATGATGACTTTGAGGAATGGTCCATTCTTCCGTTAGTCATCTTCATTGTTGTCTTTGAAGTTGTTATTTTGCCGTGCTTGAATCGTTTGGTGAATAACTTGTGATCACTTGGAAGATAGTTTTACTAGTTAATGCTTTTACGTGGAAAGTAGTACTTGCAATTGCTCGCACTATTGAGTTTCTTCTGTCCTTCTCTTTTTCTGTTTCCGGTGACAAGAGTTTTAGCCTTTTTTGTTAGTGGTCCTTTCTAAATCTATTTTTTCCAGGAATGTTGATTTAATTATGTACAACTAGTTTCTGTTGAAATTTTGCTCCTTGAAATGTCTTTGTATATTGATGCCATTGGGAGCAAAGGCTATCTTTTTATTTTTGTTACCTGCAGTCATGTGCCTTGTGATTTTTATTTTTATTTTGTGAAAAACATGTTCGAACATGTGCTGATATCTGCTTTTACAAGACTAGTACAGTAACTATATGCTTTGAATTATAGGCGTGCAATATTTCAGGAGGATTGCCAAGTTGTTTCTGAAATGCCTCCTCAACTCAGCATCAAGATCAGGTTTCTGAGATATGAATAGCTTTTGTGAAGTTAAATTGTGTGGTTTCAATATTGTTTATACTGAATAATTTATGGTTGACAAAATAGGCCATATGCAAAGGATACAGAATTTGAAGATTCTGATGTTTCTGCATTGCTTTCCGTGAGGTTTGTTGAAGATAGTTGAATTTTACCTAGATTGTGTTCGTGGTGATACCAAACCTTTTGACTAATATATATTATTTTCACAGATATGTAGAAGGCTACCCCTATAAGTGCCCAAAGCTACAGATAGTACCGGATGATGGTTTAGCAAAAACTAATGCTGATAACCTTTTATCTCTACTTTATGATCAGGTAGGAGGAGTTTATATCTAACCTATCTGCTAAAAAGTAAAAACACTCAATATATGATATGTACTAAGTGCTTATACTATTATGGGGCATTTTCTATTGCATCACTCAACGAAATGCAGCATGTAAGAGGACATATAAAACAGTACGGGGGCTCTTCAAGATGTGGCATGGACTTTACTTTACAGGATATGCATTCATGTAGATAATGAGATGAAGTTCTACTAGCATGGCACAATCATGTTGCCTTATCGCATGTTGAGTGATTCCATTATCACAACATTAGGGCAAGAAATATGTTACATAGAAAGTTCAATTACAATGCTATATATTTACATAGTATAATTAATTTAATGTAGACAAAAATAGGTGAAGGTGTGTGTATAATACTAATATTATAATTGTAAAATGGCATAATAATTGAAATCGAATTTGTGAAAGAAAGAAAATCCAATTCTAATTTATTTATTTTTAATATCCATGCATGTTTTTTGAGGGAATGGCATGAGTTTGGATTTGTTTGGGAATATGGAGCATTTTTATGTGATGATATAATTGTCAGAACTTATTCATTCCTTGATTTTCATTTCAAGGAATTCTTGCTGTTAAGGTGATGTTCTTGGCAATTTTGTCCTTGTGAACCTTGTTAAGAGCAACTGTTTAGTTTGAACTCACTTCTTGAAATTGAAAATCGTCAGAGAGAGATTTCTAATGAGACTAGAGATATGTTCAGTATGTGTCATTTTGGTTGTTTGATTTTCCCCCTTCTTTTCTTATGTGCCTATGTATGCTAGTAAAATTTGAAATTTGCTATCCTTCTTTTTCATTCTTTCACCTTGGCTTGAAAGATAGTTTCTTCTTGTCAAACAATGACAGGCCAATTCTAATGCTAGAGAAGGACGAGTGATGATTTACAATTTAGTGGAGGCTGCCCAAGAGTTCTTGTCTGAAATTATTCCCCAACGACTGCCTCAGGAATCTGTAAGCATCATGTCTTATTTGATTCTAGTTTTATTACCCTTTTTTGTTACCTTTCTTTCTCTCTCTAGAAATTGTGGTTAAAAAATGTCATGGAGCACTTCTTCTATAAATATATAACCTAGTAGTCTCCTTCATCTTCATCTTCTTCCTATATTATTATTGTTGTTGTTGTTAAATATTTAATGTTTGAACCAAACAAATATTAACCTAGGAGGACAAGATAGATGGTTTATTCTTTGAGTAAATATGTGACTTCTTTTTCTTCCATCGGCCACATGTAACAAAATTAGTGTATAGGTTCAATATTTTTTTCTTGTGGAATTATCATATTCTTTTGCACAAGTTATGCTATGATTTTACTTATGACTAATGATTTAGTAGATCAATGAAGTAACTATGTCACCACATGAATCTTGCTTTCTGAATTTTGACAGACAAACAAGGATATGTTTCTCAAACTACATTATATTTAATAAATAATCTGTTCCCTTCTAATATTGGATCACCGTACTACTTTTGGTTAGGTTATTACTTCTGCTTTGTCATTTAATATTTTGATGCCATCATCTTTTTGAAATAATAGCTCAATTGTATCATTGAGATCCTCTAGCCTACTTTGAAGTAACATATCAATATCTTCAATTTGCTCATTTTCTGTATTTGGCTTTTTTTAGGTTGAATCCCATGATCCTCTCAAGGGTCAGCTCTCTCAAAAGGTGGTTATTTCCTCGCGTGGAAAGATCTGTTCATTTAGTGGACCCTTTGTATATAGTCATGTAGATCTGTTCAGTGGTTCTGGGGAGTTGTGGCTGTGGAACATGGGAATGCAAGAGAATAGTGAGCTAGTATCTTCTGAAGCATTTGATGGTTTGAAAAATCAAAGTGTCGATTTGGAAAAGCAACAGGACAAACATATGAAGCTATTAGCATTAGAAAGTGGTATGCCCAAGTTTGTACAAAGTGAGTTGGTTGGATTAGGTACGCTTGAAGAAGGAATAGAAGATGGAAGCAAAAGTAATGAATCAAATAGTAGTGAATCAGTGGGTAGTGGTACTATTGCCTCTGCTAAGGTATTGATTTATTTCTTTTAGTTTTTATGTCTTCATTTTTCCTATCTACTTTCTATTTGTTCCTGAGCATAGAGAGGGGTTGCATTGAGTGAACAGATTCGCAAGTGCAGTGTTCTTTATTTTTCTATATCTTAGATAGAAGCATTTTTATAAACATTAGAATCCTTTTGCGAGTTCAGAGGCTGGACTTATGTCTTTACAGAATTTAGAATAAAATTTAAAATTTTATATTATAGGCACTCTGATGCTTTGAATAATCTTATTATATTTAGTTATTCCTTATCCTATTTTTTGTAAGTCTTTTCTTTTAGTTATAATTATATTACAATGGATATGAGTATTTGGATTTGACTTTGCTTTTCAAATTGGGTGTCGTCAAATTGTAATCTGCGGTCAGAAAAAATAAGTAAATTTCTTCTCAATATCAGAGTAATAATAAATCCATGAAGTATCGTCTATTGCCTTGGAAAAAAATAATTTGTGCTTTCAAGGCTGCAAAATAAAAAAAGTTTCAGCTGCGGTTATGCCTACAGACTTGATGATGCTGATGGAGCCAACGATCATCATATGCCAATGGATTTGATTAAGACAAGTTGAGTTGTCATAGTAATTGCTCTATAAAGAAGTTCATCAACATATATTGTTACTGAGTCATGTTCGATCACAATCCCATTACAGCAATATCTCTTATTAGTGAAATGCTTGTGATTTATTCATTTTTTCTTTTTGAGAGGTAAGAAAATAATATAGATAGATGATTGATACATAGGAAGCCTGAACTAGAAACAAGAGATAGAGGGGGAATAGAGCCATGAGACAGTTAAGACTACTCCGAGACCCTCTTTTCACAAAATGCTTTTCCAAAGAGTTCGCACTGCTAGGTATGTAGCAAAGATGAGGACTGGACATCTCAAATATATCCCCTAATGTTTGTGATTCATTCTACCAGGACAAACAGTTTCTTCAGCACTTGGTGCATGGCCTCTCCAATTCTTGGTTGAGTATGCTACTATTATATGTCTGCTTGAAATTGCCTTTTCCCATCGGTCTTAGCATGTCCCAGAGCTAGAGACAATTCTGGGTTTGTTGTGCTGCAAGGAGTTGGCAAGACAGCTTTTATTTTTTCATCATTACATGAAGTTTTGATACTATGCTCTAAAATAAGGGAATTTATTAGATTAGTTACATGAACTAGGAAAAATTTTAAACTAAACCTTTTTGTTGTTACCAGCATTCTTTGTAGTCCACAGTTAGCTGCGCAAGCCTATTTACTTGAAACTCCATAATATTTTTTATTTTTGTTAAGAATCTAAGGGTTTGTTCTTTTGGTATTTGTGTTTTGTATTTTAGATGAAATTGTTGTTGGATATAATGTTTTTTATGGAAAATTGGTATGTTTTTATAGAGAAATATGAGATTATTAAGTAAAGAAATTGAAAAAACAAAATGAAGACTCAAAAGAATAGAGCCTACATTTCTCTACTAATTATTTACAACCAAAATCTTCACAACCAGCATAAATTTTTTTGCTGTTAAATATTCCAATTGTAAGCAATACACGGTTCTATCTCATTATCCTATTGCCTGCTACAATTTCACCTGTTTGTTTTTCTTCTGACATTATCATTCTCTATGTAGTAGGTGACGATTTCTTGATTTGGCAGGATATTTTTTCTGAAGGAAATCTTACAGAAGAAGATCACAGTTATTTAGATAGTGATTCAGCCTTATCTACATTTGAGCCTGTTGATCTTGACCAATCTACTCAGACTGATGAGAGAGATTTGCTCCTGGTTAGTTTGCAGCCTACGCAATCCTACTTTAGGCTTTGTTATTTACCGGCTTATTTATGGTTGATTTTTTAAGGCCCATTTGCTTCGACTTACCTGTGCTCCTAAAGGACCACTTGCTCATGGTCTACCAGAAATAGCATCAGAGCTCCTCAATCTTGGGGTTGGTATATATCATTATTTACTTGCTCAAGAGCCTCTGCATTGTGTTGTTTTAACTAGCTGTTTTCATTGTATTCCTCAGATTGTCTCAAAAGGTGTGCGAGATCTGGCTCTCAAGCCAAGTTCATCCTTTGACAAGACTTTTGATCGTGTGTTTAGGAAGTATATTGTCAGTCAATTTTGCATTTCCTCTCAACACGTAAATTAGATTTTATTTAATAAATGGTGCTACTTCTTTTCTTGATTTGTATGCCATAGGGTTCCTCAGAAATTTCAGCCTTCTGGAAAAGTGCTGCTGATTATGAAGATCAAAGTTCTTCAACTCCGAGTTCGCGTTACTTAAATGACTTTGAGGAGCTTCAAACGCTCGGTGAGAAATATTCTTTGCATGTTTTTATTTGTTGCTTAGCATGCTCTTATTTTCTGTTTTGAATGCAAAAAATAATTTCATTATTATCAGAATCATCATAAAAGATATAGTTTCTAAAGTACTACAAAGTGTTGTCATTCATAGAGGAATGACCTTTCTCAATGCAATTTTCTTAGCTATGGACCTTTCTTCATAATGATTTGGGTATGATGGCTATTACAACTTGAATCCTAAAATTATTTTGAATTATTCAGTTTGGTTCATGAAACTAACTTGCTTGTCTACACATCTGACACTACTTTTTTTTTTTTTTTCTTTTCTAATAATAACCAGGGCTGATCCTAATATTTACGAGGCCCGCTGCTAAAATACATTAAGGGCCCCGATAATTAAATATTTTTATATTAAAAATAAATATAAATTATTTTTTTTTAAAAATTAATAATAATAAGATTAAATATTAATTTTTTAATACATAAAAATATAGTGTTTTTTTATATTTGTTTGATATGTTTTTATGATAGATATACAGAAATGTATTGATAATATAGAAATTAATATTTTGTATTGAATTTGATTTTGGTGAGTTTGTAGAGCAACATATATATATATATTATATTTTTATAATATTAATTGAGAAGCGTGCTCAATTTTTTATTGTGTGAAAATAATAGTTAACATATTAATATGATCTTAATTTTTTTTAATAATCCTAATTTTTAAATCTTAAATTTAGGAAAATATTACGACACTATTACTAAAATACTATTAAAAATAGTTAATGATTACATAATAAACTACATTATTAATAAATTTAAAATTTAAAAGTATTTAAAGTGTATTAACTTGTATTTATATATTAATAAGTGAGATAATTATTTGATGTTATATTGTAATTTATGATGGTTGATTGATTGTATATTTTATTTATAAAAAAAATTATATACTTAATTGTTAGATTCACATCTATATCTTAGATATGATCCTTACTTTATCTATATTTATAATTATATCTATATCTATGATTTAGTTAGATTTAGTTTGTTATGATAGATTTTTTAACATCTATATATATATATATATATGAATATTTCTCTTTCATTTACTCTTGAAATGAAATAATATTTTTCCGTTTCTCTACATGGTATTGGAGACAATTAGAGTTTAGATAAACCTTCATATTTTCTAGCCACTATTACCGCCACCTAAACCCTAGTCTAACCAAAACCCTAAATTTTCTATTGTACCAATTTGAGTTATCTTTTCACCCAAGCAACATTATAATCCAACTCTTTACACTCAGGCGTCTCCAACCACGGTGAGAGAACCGCCGTCCGTTGTTGCATGCGTCTCCATGCTCCACCGCCGGAAGACAATGCCTACTCCGTTTTGGTCGTTTTGCAACCTTTTTCCGGCGTCCTTTTTTGACACGCGCTATATTGGCGTTTCCTCTCTTCATGATGTGTTGGACGACTTCGTTGACCATCGCTTCCGCCACGCATGTATGAGTCACACCGCCATTGTTGCCGAGTTTAGGGCCTTCTATTTTTTCTTCTTTTGCTTCTTATGACCGACTCTTTTTTAAGTCAATTTGTACTAGATGTCTACTTGAGGTGTACCTATTATCATTAGAATGGTCATACCAAAGGATATTGCTATAGCCTTCATGGATACCCTTCTCATACAAATGCAGTTGTTGATAATTTGAATGAATATTCATCCCCTGACTCCATTATTATAAGTCGTGCCGATTATGATGCGTTTATTTAGTTTCAGGCATCTAAGTCATCCTCCATTAGTTTGGACACCTCTTCTAATGCCCAGATCTCATTTGTCAGTATTTCTTGATCTACATTAGGCTTATGGGGTCCTTTTCGTTCTATGTCAAGTCTAGGTTTTCAATATTGTTACTTTTCTTGATGATTTCAGTATGTATACTTAGGTTTATTTATTGACAAATAGGTCTGAATTACTTACTATATTAAAAAAGTTTTGTGTTGAAATTCGTACAATATATCACACCTCTATTAAGATCTTAAGGAGTGATAATAGTAGAGTATATTTCTCCAACTCATTTAGTTGTGTGTTTTTAGGGGATTATTCATCAGTTGTCATGCCCTTCTACCCCCAACAAAATGGAGTGGCTGACCGCAAGAATTGTCATTTAGTAGAAGCAACTCATACCCATCTGTTACATTGTAACGTCCCGTTTCAGTTTTCGGCGATGCTATCCTTACAACATGCTTTCTTATTAATCGTCTTCTACTGCACTAGGTCATAAGATCCCCATAATGTCTCGTGTATTTGATTTTACATACTTTGTTAATGATCATTTTCTTGGTTTGGACATTATGTCTTCAATCAATGAAATGTGTTTTCCTTGAGTACTCTCGGATTAAAAAGGATATAAATGTTATTCTCCTTTTACTTGTCGATATTGCCTTAGTGTAGATGTTACGTTCTTTGAATCATTACCATACTTTACAGTGTCATCAGCTCGTCCTTAATACCTATGACTCCTATTCCAATGGCCTCCATTACTAAGCCTCCACTTTAGGTCTATAGTCGACATATATAGGGACGTCAAACCTACCTATTTCACCATCACCTGGATCCATTGATGAATCATCTCCAGTTTCGTCGCCATCCCGGGTTGTGACTCCACTGTCACTTGTTGTCCTACGTCGAGGTACTCGGTCTACTTATAATTCTAATCATGTCTATAAGTTTCTTAGTAATCACTGTTTATCTCCTTCCATGCGTAGTGTTATGGCTGCTTTAGACTCCATCTATGTTCTTCGCTTTGGGTCATTCAAGGTGGTGTTAGGCCATGGTGGAGGAAATGTTTGCTTTGCATGCTAACATTACTTGGGAGTTAGTTCCATTGCCATCAGGAAAGACACCCGTAGCTTGCCAATGGGCTTATGCAGTGAAGGTTGGCGCTGGAGGTCACATTGATCGACTAAAAACTCGACTTGTTGCAAAGGCTTTACTCAAGTGTATGGAAAGGACTATATAAAAACCTTCTCTTCAGTTGCCAAAATGTCTTTTTTGTTTGTTTGTTTGTTTTGTTTATTTGCTTATTTATTTTTATGGCAGCAATGCGTGGTTGGTACCTTTATCAACTTGGCATTAAAAATGCATTTTTGCATGGTGAGCTTAAAAAAGAGATGTATATGGAGCAACCACCTGATTTTGTTGCTCATAGGGAGTCTGCCTTGTATGTCACCTTTGTTGCTCACTCTATGACTTGAAAGAGTCTCCACGAGCATGGTTTGGACGTTTCAGTTTTGTTATTCAGGAATTTGCTATGACATAATATTCATTTGATCATACCGTATTCATTAAGCATACTTTAGAAGGATGATGTGTTTACTTAATTGTCTATGTTGATGATATTGTCATCACGAGAGATGATATGTGTTGAGATATTTTAAATATTCAATTTTAGATTTAGTAGATTTATATTTAGATTTGGTCTCCGTAGATTAGATTACTTAGATTTGAGTTTATCGAGTCTGTTTTGTCTTGCCTATATATAGGCCTCTTATTTTGATGATCAATAAAACAATTTCATAATTTTTCCCCAAAATTTCTAATATGGTATTAGAGCTTATTTTTCTCATGGCGTAGATATAGCCTACCAACTCGTGTTTCTCCGGGTACATTCAACCTGGATTGTACCCGGAGGTCTAGTGATTTTGAGATCATGCTATCTGTCATATGTCTGTTGCCTGCGTGTGATCTGAAACCTGTCTGCAATCTGCCATTTGTCCACTGCTTGTCTGTTGCTTGCGTGTGATCTGTTTGGTGTTTGCAATTTATCTTTTTCAACTCCGGTGGAGAGTCATCTCGTTTTCCGCTCCGGTGGAGCGTCATCTCGTTTTCGGCTCCGGTGGAGTTCTCTCGTTTCGGCTCTGGTGGAGATTAATTTTGTTTTTAGCTCCGGTGGAGAGTCATCTCGTTTTCGGCTCCGGTGAAGAATCATCTCGTTTTATGCTCTGGTGAAGTTGTCTCGTTTCGGCTTTGGTGGAGATTCATCTTATTTTTAGCTTCGGTGGATGGTCATCTCGTTTTTCGACTCGATCATGCTATCTGTCATATGTATGTTGCCTGCGTGTGATCTGAAATCTGTCTGCAATCTGCCATTTGTCCGCTGCTTGTTTGTTGCCTGCGTGTGATCTGTTTGGTGTTTGCAATTTATCTTTTTCAACTCCGGTGGAGAGTCATCTCGTTTTCCGCTCCGATGGAGCGTCATCTCGTTTTCGGCTCTGGTGGAGTTATCTCGTTTCGGCTCCGGTGGAGATTCATTTTATTTTCAGCTCCGGTGGAGAGTTATCTTGTTTTCGGCTCCGGTAAAGAATCATCTCGTTTTATGCTCTGGTGAAGTTGTCTCGTTTCGGCTTTGGTGGAGATTCATCTTATTTTCAGCTTCGGTGGATAGTCATCTCATTTTTCGACTCCGGTGGAGAGTCATCACGTTTTCAGCTCCGGTGGAGAGTCATTTCATTTTTTGCTCCGGTGGAGAGTCAACTGTTATTTTATTTGTGTTTTTTTTTTTTGCGTTTATATTAAAATTTCTTATCAAACTCAAGTTAGTTTCTATTATACCATTTAAGCTTGAAGGAAGATGTTGAGATATTTTAGATATTCAGTTTTAGATTTAGTAGATTTATATTTATATTTGGTCTTATCCATAGATTATATTACTTAGATTTGAATCTATCGGTCTGTTTTGTCTTGCCTATATATAGACCTCTTATTTTGATGATCAATAAGACAATTTCATAATATTTCCCCAAAATTTCTAACAATATGAATGATATTACAAAGTTAAAGCCTTGAAGGAGTATCTACACAACCATTTTCCGGCCAAAGACTTGGGACCACTATGGTACTCAATAGGAATTGAGATTGCCCAATCAAAGAGAAGTGTTATCCAGTCTCAAAGAATATATATTCTTGATATGTTGCAGGAACGAGTAGGGCTGGTAAATGGATCGGGTCGGTTCGAGTTCGGGTTCGGGTCAGGGTCATCTTTAAACGGGTTACAAAACCCTTGACTTGAACCTAACCCATTTAATTAAATATGCTGATATTTGCAACCTTAACCTGACCTTTAATTAATCGGGTCAACCTGAATCTGATCTGTATAACTCGTTTATGTCTAAAATTTTTAAATTTTAATTTAAAATTACAATTTTTACTAACAAAATTTTCAAATGCTTAATATATATACAAATTAAAACAAAAAATTATTTATTCATATCATGAAACCGATATTCAAGAATCGAATTAACAAACACTACATAATAGTACACAATACAATCCTTTATTTTTTATTGTTTATTTTTATAAAATTGGCCATAAATATTGAATTATATTGATAAAATTTAGAAAATACATTTAAATTTAAAATAATATTAGTTAAACAGGTTAGACTAGTTATTTTCTGGTCGAAAATGTAAACTTTAATTTGACCCATTTAATTAAATGGGTTAAACATGTTTGACCTCATTATTAATTGGGTCAAAAATCTCAACCAAAACCCAACTATTTCAGGTCAAGCTCGGGTCGGGTTATCAGGTCGGATTAATTTTTGCCAGCCCTAGGAACGAGTGATGTAAGATTGTGGGTTCTCCTATGGATCCAAATGCAAAGATGCTTCCGGGATAGGGATGCTATTGACTGATGCTGATGTTGGCCGATATAATTATAGTTTTGGAGGTCTTCGGCCCCTTTACAGAAATGGGACCTAGGTGTGGGATCCTCCCGCCCTTGCCCATGGCCGGCCCTTATAATAGCCTCAATTTTGTTATTTTCTATTACACCATGCAATTGTTTGATTGCATTGTTCAGATTTGCTGAAATTTTTTAAACACTTCTGTGTAGTTAATATTATACTTTTTGTTTACTTTTTCTTTTGTTGGTATTCTTGGTCTACTTAATGCCTTCTGTAATGAAGTAATTTTTTAGTGCAAGGATAATGTCTTTTTTGTCTGACAGGTCATGGAGGATTTGGTCATGTTGTATTATGCAAGAATAAGCTAGATGGTCGCCAGTATGCTGTGAAAAAGATTCGGTTAAAGGACAAGAGTCTACCTGTAAATGATCGTATATTAAGGTGTTCTAGTGTTATATTTTAAACATTTGGTAATTTTTTCTATTAGGGTGTGTTTGTTTGGGGGTTTGGATTTTGAGTTGGGATTTGAATAGTAAAAATTTTGAATTTGAATAGTTGCATGATGTGATATAAATAGGTGTTGATGTGATGTTTTGAATGTAAAAGTGATTTTTAGTATAATATAAAAAATGAAATATAGGTGTTTGATTTGATGTTTTTGGGAAAAAAAAATTGGGTCAATAGTATTTAAAATCCAATCCCCCAAACAAACACACCCTAAGTACCTCATGCCATATTTTTTAATTCCATGAATTTTTGTGCTCTTACCTTAACTGTTAACTTCTATTATCTTGCTGGTCACTCTTGTCTTGCAAAATATTCACGTCAGGCTAATGGAAGTTTTGTACCCAATGGTCTTAGTTCTTATTGCATATCTCAGAGGCAAAGAAATACTCGTGATTCATTTATCATTTGACACATTTATAGCTCAAATATTATGATCCCATGTCAACACATTCATATTTTTAGTAAAGTAAGCTATGATTCTAGTTTTGTCTAATGTGTTCAAACCATAGTATTCAATAGCTGGAGTGAGCACTGTTATTGCTCCACCGCAGAGTGAACTGTAGCTCTATTGCAGTGCATTTATGCATCCGCAGAAACGGCTGCTTCTCTCGGAGAGGTTGTGCCAGCTAAATTGGATTTATACCAATTATCTATCAAGATTAATAGTGAGGAAAGTGAAAATGAGGAAAAAAAAATCTATTAGATTTTGAATTTGATTAATTTTGATTATCTATTTATTAAAGTAGTAGTGATACAATTTTTAATTTTTTTATCTTCTTATATAGTTATCTATGATCGTATATTTGACATTTTGTTTTGTTTAGCATAAAAATAATTGATATTCCCTCCGTCCCACATAATTTGTCCTTTACTTTTTTGGAAAATTAATTATACACTTTAATCATATTTTAAAATTTAAAATTTAAATTTTTTTAATCTTAATTAAACTATTTAGTTATTTTAATCTTAATCTATAATTATTTTTACTAAATAATAATTATTTTTACTAATATATTTCTTAATTGCTTACTAATTATACTTTACCTAAATTCCGGTGTTCACAGTAATAGACCCATATTACATGGGACGGAGGGAGTATTACTTTAGAAAATTTTTATATGTTTTCTGATTGTAAATTTGCATATATAATAATATATATTTTCAAATAGCTGTCATCCCTCACTCTGCTATCACGCTATGACTTTAGGGTTTGACTGATATTTTCTGCTATCCAAACTAATGGCCCATGATGCTGCATAAGCGTATGAGATAAAGGTGAAAAGTACTTAATGGAGCATGTTAGCTTGTTACAGAATCAGGGAAAAGAACTATATCCTTATTGAGTTTTTGAGATTAGTTTCGTTAGTATTGTAATGTTGAAAATATCATTTTAGTAGTCTTGTTTCAAACCTTGCATGCAAAGAATTCATTTTTGTATGGTAATGTACATGAGTTATTGCCTTGGATGCAACCTAGAGTATACTTCTATGTGAAGAATTCTGCATAAGCTTAAAAGGTGATTTCATACAAGGCCTAGAGCATGATTTTAAGGTTAATCATTTTAGTGTCTATGCAGTAGGGACAATGTGGAGTGCTGATCCTTTGTTCATGTGAATTATATATCAATATTTTAGAAGTGAAATTGATTGATAGATGCTCCACTATAGGTCATTGTGTTTTTATTGGGGTAATTCTATTTCATTGAAAAGTAAGAGGCAAAATGTGGTGTCTCAATTTTTTTGGGAATCATAATATAGAGCATGTGTAACCTACAGGATGACCTTAAGGCATCAGCTCTGCCTGGACTCTGGTCTAATTTAAAATCACCTCATATAATAAGGATCGTGATGTCTAAATTATACTCCCTTCGTCTGCTATAATTATGTCATGTTGTCTTTTTGGATGTTCGTTAAACTTATGTATAATCTTTTTATACTCCCTCCGTCCCACATAATTTGTCCCTATTTTCTATTTTCGTCCGTCCCACATAACTTGTCATTTCTATTTTTGGAAATATAATTATGCACTTTAATCGCATTTTAAATTTTAAATTTTATAATTTTCTTAATTTTAATTCAACTATTTACTTATCTTAATCTTAATCTATAATTATTTTTACTAAATAATAATTATTTTTACTATTACACTTCTTAATTACTTACTAATTATACTTTGCCTAAATTCCCGTGTCTACAGTAATATACCCATATTACATGGGACGGAGGGAGTAGTAAATAACTTTATTCACCCACTATTTTATTAGCTATACTTTAACAAATAATAACCAATTTGCTACTATTTTTTCTATTTATCCCATTACCTTTTGTCAGTTCTTTAATAAATTTTCTATAATACCATTACTTTACTTTTTATTTACTCCACTTTAACATTAAAACATCATTATTTCTTAGTCTCAGTGCCCAAACAAAGTGGCTTAATTAGTCTGGACGGAGAGAGTATACCATAATATTAAAATGTGGGAAGAATCAGTTGTTGATTACTAAAAATGTTCTGTATTGATCTAGTCTATCATGTTTCAACCATAATGGTTGAAAAAAAACTCTCACGCCATTTGCACTTTCTTTTATCTTCTTCTCTTGGACTATATGTTTGCAATTTTTAAACTCTCTTGACTGTGCTTATATCTTCCTTGTTTTATTTTTTAATTTTATTTTATGAGTAAGCATATTATTCATTTCGAAATTTGTTCCTATTTCGTACTTTATCCCCTGTTTCTAACATTTATTCATTAACTGCAATGTGATATGGTTCTTAGGGAAGTCGCCACGCTTTCTCGGTTGCAGCATCAACATGTTGTTCGATACTACCAGGTAATAGGATTTCAAAAATATGTGGGCTTGATTTTCAAACTTGTTTCATATGTTCTACTCAATTCTAGGATTTTCTAGCTCGAGTGATTGTTAAATTCTTAGAATTTAAGTTTGTCTTGCATGTTTGTTTCTCACTTCTTTGAATTTCAGGCCTGGTATGAAACTGGGGTTGTGAGTAGCATAGGCAATATGATGTGCGGTTCGAAAACAGGTGCAAGCTCAAGTTTCGGCTACAAAGACACTGTTTCTTCAGATCAGTTTGGAAATGAGAATAAGTCTGAATCAACTTATCTATATATTCAGATGGAGTATTGCCCAAGGTCACAATATATTTTATGAGTTTGTGTTTTCTTCCTAGTTCCTATCTCATCAATCAATTGCATATTGGGGATTTTTAACTTCAGGATTGTTTAGGATCAGAAGATGAAATATTTTCTATTGATCAAAATCTATGTATTTTTAAGTTAATATAAATTGATTAAAAAAAAAATGGAGTGAATACTATGTTATAAATTGAAGGCTTCTTGGTTGGTTTATTGGGTGAAAGAGTACCAGAATTTACATGTGAGTTGACATTTTGCTCCATACTTTGGGAGAGATCAAATTGTGATGAAAAAAGATAGTAAAGGGTTGTGTACTGACTACTGAATTCTTCATGTCTAGTTTGAATGGTGCCAATGATGTTGGCTTGAGGATGAAATTGCATGGCCTTAACTTTAGCCTTCTTTTGTCTGTGTGAGTTTGTGTGTAGAGTAGAGAGATTTTATTAAAGAGTGCAGTTAATAGATACATATGTAAAGTGAAGAAATAAACACATTCTAATCTTTTAGTTGGAATTAAAATTAAGGAAAGTGAGAGCACAAAGAATGGATGGAGTAATGAAATTTATGAAGAAGAAATTTCTGGAATTTAAGGTTACTTTTAACAAGACAACTACAAGAAGACATGCCCTATAAATTGGAATGCTGTGGGCTAAGTGAGCATGAGCAATACATGAAAGTAGTTGAAATAATAATGTTGATATGATTGTGTAGAATAAGTAATGAATGTATGAGAGTAGTGATGTAGCATTAATCACAAGAACCTAAGGTAAATACATTTAGATTGGTTTGTTCATGTGTATATGAAGCTATGTTTGGAAAAATACACATTGTCTTTTTATTGTGGATAGACTTAATAGGATAATTATGGTGATTTTGATATGATTAAGGTGTATGACTACAAGACTACATAATTATCGTACACTTTTAAAGTTATTATCTGTTCATCTTGGAATTGTTTTTGTACAATGGCAGTCCATGACAAGTCGTGACTTTGTAAAATTTGTAAAGTATGCATTCTGTGTTTATATGGTTTGACATTTTCTAACTTAATGTATTATCTGTGCGACTGAAGGACACTGAAACAGATGCTTGAATCTTACTCCCATCTTGATAAAGAACTTGCATGGCATTTATTTCGCCAAATTGTGGAAGGCTTGGCTCATATACATAGCCAGGGAATTATTCATCGTGACCTGACTCCTAATAACATCTTTTTTGATGCCCGTAATGACATCAAAATTGGGGATTTTGGGCTTGGTGAGTCATTATTTCTGTATTGTTGATAAATATTAGTTTACTATTTTACATTTGACATGAGACTGAGGTGTAACCCTTACTTACTGAATACAATCTGTTTAATGTGGTTTTAAAATGAGAATTTACATTAGCTTCTGTAAGATGAATTAAATTGTAACATTTTAGAAGCTTGTAAATAGAATCACTGCTCATATTAATTGGGCATATGTGTGCAACTGCTAAGTGAAGGTGTTGCTTTTGATAAGTGGAACAGGGGCACACACTGTGGCTAGTAGACCACTATGACGTTGCCTCCCACTTTCAAAAAGCAACATACTTTAGTGATCTGTCATATTCTCTACCTGTTTATATGAGCCTTACTCAGAGGGTAAAACACATAACTTGTGTTTTTTATATATATGCATAAACACCTGTGTAAAATGTTCCCAAAATTCTTGTTTTGTTAGGATGTTGTAGACAAAAGTCAGGATTTTATGTTCCATTTTAGCTAACATGATGGGGAATTATGCAATAACTTCTACACAAGTTACTTAAGTCATCATGTAAATCCACCTTGTACGTAAAGGGCGTGTTGGTTGACTACATAATAAATAATGTTGCGTATCCCTTTAAGGTTAAGCTTTTCGGTGAGATGGTCATTAAACAATATTTGAAAGACTAATGGGGGAACTGAGCATTCGAGAGTGATGAACGACCTATCATTAGCAAATTCATGGAAGCTGCACCAGGAGATCCCAAATACAAAGAAGTTCACTTGATCTGAAGATGAACTCGATGGTGGCAATGTCTATAACAAGCAAATGAGATTTGTGTCACAAGATTCCAATTTTGTTCCTTGAAGAAGGATGCTAATTGGGTTGTGTTTGAAGATTAGATTACCAATGGCCTTGCTCTTAATACAACCGCCTAAATCCTTTATATTGATATAAATAATATTCATTGCAAATGCAGAAACTTATTGCAGGCACCTTTTTATCCACTCCATGTGCATGGGTTGGGAGATCATTATAATATTGAGTGTTGTATCATGACAAAATGTAGGTGTTTTAGTCTTTTGGCATTTGTCTTGAACTCTTTGACATGCACATGACAACTGGCTATCTATGTCAGGAGATCTTTAGCATATTTTGATGTTTAGGAGATCATGATTGATTTGATTTACTTTCCTGAAACGTAAATGCATGATAGAGAAAAGTATTGTTCAATGATCATCTCACCTGAAAGCTACAATTAACAAGAAAATGCACACATTAATATATTATATGGTTTTACAACATGTCCCGTCATGTGCAAACCTTGCACATGAACAATTGTGTTTTTTCTTTTCACTAAGGGTGGAGATGGGACTCAAACACGAGATCTTTTTCTATGATACTATGTTCAATGACCATCTCATCTAAAGTTATTTTGAAATTGTTGTGAAATTGCGAATGCCAACTTTGATGTCGTGGCTTTGAAAAACCGATCACTCGACTTGGAGACAACCAATCCTGGCTGTGTGCTGAAGAGATTTGATTGTCATGGCGGGCTAAGACGGGTCTAGGGTGAAAAATGCTCTGATACCATGTTCAACGACCATTTTAGTTAAAAGCCTAAGCCAATAGGAAAATGCATCATTAATTAACTATTATATAGTTTTCCAACAAGTATAACTAAGTATCAAGTATCAAAACAATTTATGCTGGTTTACATGCATGTTTGATCTTCAATTTCAAGATTTCCATTATTGAAATCTTATGCACCATTTTAGATTTCTTCAGAATTTCTTGCAGAAGCTTACTACTTGGTTCTGCCTTTTTTTTAATTCAGCCAAGTTTTTGAAGCTAGAGCAATTGGATCAGGATGTGGAAGCTATTGACTCTGTTGGAGTATCTCTTGATGGTACTGGTCAAGTTGGCACTTACTTGTATACTGCTCCTGAAATAGAGCAAGGGTGGCCAAAGATTGATGAGAAGGTTGCATTTTAAATCCATTTGTAAGGATGTGCTTTAGTCTCTTGTAAGCCAGTGCATTATAATGTGTTTGTGCCTCATCTCATTTGACTCTATATGTAGGCTGATATGTACAGCTTAGGAGTCGTGTTCTTTGAACTGTGGCATCCATTTGAAACAGCTATGGAAAGGCATGTTGTGCTTTCTGAACTGAAACTAAAGGGAAAGCTCCCATCTGATTGGATTACTGAATTACCAGAGCAGGAAGGCTTGCTGCGGCGCTTGATGTCCTCAAGCCCATCAGATCGTCCATCAGCCACAGAGCTTCTTAAGAATGCATTTCCACCTCAAATGGAATATGAATTATTGGATAGTAAGTTCTAAATATTGTTTCGAATACTTCCTCTGTAGGCTGTACAGTAATAATATGCAGGATTAACCATGTAATTGTGGAAGTATATACTTATACTACCTTTGCTTCATTCTTAACTAAAATTTACAAAAGAGTTGTTACAATTAATAGGATAAATCACCTACTCCCTGAATTTGATAGAGGTAGTCTATCATTCTTCTAATCTCTAGAGTTTTTTTTTTTTTTTTTTTTTTTTTTTTTTTTCCTTTGGGAATAATTACTGCTCTCTAAATGAAAATTGGTTGCTTCACTTGTTCTTTATTCTTGGCCTCTTAAGCCTACATTTTTCTGTATTTCAAGAAAGTCAGTATCTTCTGGTAGGGGTTTATTATGAAGTAAGTTCTACATTTAACAATGATGTTCAAATTACTTTTAAGACACTTGTGTAAAAACATAAATCAGATTCTGTTGAGAGAACACTCTCCATGGTGGACTGACAGAGAGGAATGAAGCTATTGACGCTGAAAAACTAAAAACTCACCATCATTTATTGAAAATCTTTTAAGAACTGTTAATCAAAAGTTTGTTGATTCAAAGTGGTTGTAATGGTAAGATATTTTAATGTTAACTGGGTATCTATCATGTGTTCCTTTGGTTAGCATCATTTTCCAATGTACTTTTTTGTGCTAATACAATCTCAATCATGCACAGAGAACAATAATATATTGATAAATGATTTTTTGTAAGTCACATAAGTGATATTTCAAAACTACCCTATTTGCACTGCTTTTGTAATTCTATTTGCTAAACCAGATTTTGAAAATACCAAAGCTGGATGAGATTCAGGAATAAAAAATCAGGAACAATAAGTAACAAATATTATAATGTAACTGAATCTTTTAAGTGTTGTTTTAGTCTTTTAGAATTTATATATTCCCCTTAATGAAACATTTTAATCATAATCTTGTTGTGTTTAAGAATTTATAACCATAGACAGTCTTTTTTGAGTGTATTAGATTTTTTTTTTTTTTTTGTCACCCAACAATTCTCCTTCTAACTTATTTTGCAGATATGTTGCGAACAATGCAAAGTTCTGAAGACACAATTATTTATGAAAAAGTTGTATCTGCAATTTTTGATGACGATATGTTGAGAAAAAAGAACATTCATGAGAGTTTTGGAAGATTGAAATCCCTTCCAGACAATACTTCATCAATTGTTTATACTGATTTGGATACTGCACATCGGGATCTGGTCGTTGATATCACAAAAGAAGTTTGTAGAAAACATTGTGCAAATCATTTGGAGGTCATACCTATGAGAATATTAAGTGATTTCCCACATGTGAAAAGGTATTGCTGCTAGTTTTTCCTAATATTGTTTACATTTTTCCCATGTGGATTTTATCATCTAAACCTTTGATATGGATGCTTAATCCACCCCGTTCCCTGAAACCTCTCTTATATAGGAATACTGTGAAAGTATTAACCGATGGAGGTGACATTGTTGAGTTTTGTCATGAACTACGCTTCCCTTTCGTAAAATGGGTCATTTCAAAGCAGGTATTATTTTTTGTTTTTCTTTCTCTCTTTTAATTTATTTTTTAGTTTTATATATTTATATTTTATTCGTATTTTCGATTTTGGTAGCATTTTGTGATGTGTTGGCTTCAATTCATCAGAGTGCTTATTTCATTGGGCATAGATGCATCATAAAGTCTGATTAAATTAACGCCATTGGGTATTGGCCAGAACATTCTATTTTTAGTAGTTTCTTCTCATCCTTTTTAATGTCTTTGGCTTTCTCTCCTTGTTTGCATTATGCTACATTTATCTACCAATGTTGAAATTAGTATATCCACTTGACTTATTACTATACTGTGTTTTTTTTTTTTTAACTATTTGTTCAACTGTGAAGGATAATTTCCAGGTGAATGATGTACGTTATGAAGTATTACCATTAATTTTCTTTTTTTCCAAGCTACAGAATAGGTCCTCTCTTATTTTAATCTTATAATTTTAATATGCCATTGATTTCATAATCATCGCTAAATAGATGCTGTAATACTTTTTTTTTTTTTTTTGTAATTTTATTTTCCTTTTATATTATTTATTTCCTAGTTGAGTAATGTGAAGGGAGAATCCCAATGATAATATCAGGGAGAGTGCAGCAATACATCTTGACTTGACATAGTTTATATATTTATCTATTTTTTTGGAGTATTAATTCATCGAAATCTACCAGAACAGGTAAATGTAGATTTTTGAAATCCTAGGGAGAGGATTCCTGGTGTGTTGTTTTGAAGGCATATGCTTGCACTTGCTCCATGTAATTGTTTATTAACTGTCAAGATCCAGACATCTGCAATAGTTTCATTGTTGATTCTCTTTCTGGAACTAATGGGAAAGTTAACTTTCTTTTGTATAGAAATCATTTTTCAGGCGCTATGAAATATCATATGTGTACCGAAGATCAATTGGCCATTCACCTCCAAATCGGTATCTCCAGGTTCATCTAACACTTGCAATGATTCTGTTGGTTTTTGTTATGAAAAGTGGTTTTAGTTTCCAACATGCTCTCTTCACAGGGGGATTTTGATATTGTTGGAGGAGAAACTGCATTGACTGAAGCAGAGGTCATAAAGGTCGCTGTCATCATCCCTCTTCTCCTCCATCATCATCATCATCATCATGCTTATGATTATTAATCTCTGTTTCTGTGGTTCTAGACATTTCATGGCTCAAATCCCTATGTATATAAAACCAAATCAAATGTAAACCATGATGCTTGAAACAAACTTCTACTTATTATGAAAGAGAAATATACATTTCATGAAAAATATTTCCATCTTCTCAATACCTGTGCTCAATTTTTTCCATTACCTTACAACCATTATTAGGTCGCATTTGTGTTATGGAGCCTCACCGGAACAATCTCTGTCAGCTCCCTTGCAGTTGCAGGGGAAAAAACTGCCTGGCCTACTCTAGGCATATAGTCTCCCAGGCTTTGGACCTAATCTTTGATTAACCCTAATCCTTAGTATCAAATGAATGCCCCTTAGTAACCATTATTAAGTAAGCTACGGCTTTGACACGACAATCCTGCTATCGTTTCCTTCAATTCAACAGTTTTTCATTCTCTTTTGTAACAGCTCATGAGTATGTTGATTGCTTGAATACTAAGGAGTTCAAACTATTTGAATATCCAAACTTTTCTTAATTTTATTGATCTTAGCTTTCATCTTGGAAACAATTTAATATCTTACCTACTAAATAATTTGACAAAGTTCACTATTTGATTCAAAGTTGTTGCTAGTTCTCTAATTCACCATGTTCCTACCATATAACTTATAGCAGCTAGACTAGATAAACACCTTTTCATTAATTATTGGTCTGAATCTGTATTGACGATTGTGCACGAGTAACTACCTACTCCAAACACATGAACTGCCTAATTACCGAAATGAGCATACTTACATTTGGATTGGCCATGATTAACTATGAATACATGAATTGTCAAACTACTAAAGCAGATTTGTTAATATGCTGTTATACAATTTCAGGTGACAATGGACATAGTTACACGCCTGTTCAATTCAGAAGCATGTCACATTCATTTGAATCATGGGGACTTGTTGGAAGCAATGTGGTCTTGGACAGGGATCAAATCAGAGAATAGGCAGAAAGTAGCAGATGTAGGTTATGTACATTGATGAAGTCATGAATCATGATGGAGTTTTCACTATAACATGCCTTTCTTTTTGCAGCTTCTTTCACTATTGGGCTCTTTGCATCCACAGTCTTCTGAAAGGAAGTCAAAATGGGTGTTAATTAGGCGGCAGCTTCGACAGGTTTTCATCCTCTTTCTTGGCATTGCACTCGGTTTCTCTTCTTCTTTTCGGTTATATGTGCTTTTTTTTTGTATATTCTGTGGTTTTTTAATTTGATCAAACTATTTATGGTTGTTAAAGATTAATACCAGCTTTAAACTGCAAGAGAACTCAGGAGATACCTTGTTCAGCAAAACTGTTACCTTCTTTTCAATACTGTGGGGAGACCATTTATTCAAAACTAAATATACTCTTTGTCTTTGATGTTTCTTTGCAAATTCAAATTGTTTCTGCGACAATACTTGAGTTTGAGTGAGTGTTAAAGACATTTTAGGTATTTAGTTTTAGATTAGAGTTGTTTTAGATTTGATTTTATTCATTAAGTTAGGTTGTTATGATTTGAATCTATCGAGTCAAATGTCATGCCTGTTTTTATAGGCTTCTATTTTTATTATGAATACAATGCAATGTTTTAGTTGTCTACAAAATTTCTTCTCACAACCTTTATGGATCCGTTCCCTTTGTGTTGTGAAATCTTTGTGCAGGAACTTGGCCTAGCTGACGATGCTTTAAATAGGTTACAAACAGTTGGATTGAGGTTCTGTGGAATGGCAGATCAGGTTCTTCCAAGGCTTAGGGGTGCCCTGCCTGCAGGTTTTTTTAACATCAATTTAAGTTGCAGGTTGTTTTTATTTCTCTTTGGTAACTGGCTTTGACGAATTTATGACTTATAGATAAATCCACTCACAAGGCACTTCATGAGTTATCGGAGCTTTTCAACTACCTAAGGGTTTGGAAGATTGATAGACATGTATTTCTTGATGCACTTATGCCGCCAACTGAATTTTATCACAGGAACTTATATTTCCAGGTATCACAACCAATTTTATGCAATTGCATTTTTACTAAACTAATGGAATACCTGGTGCAAATATAGATCATAATAATGTACTTACAGCCTAGATATTCACTTTTTTATATCAAGAGATGTCTTTCATTTTCGCATCAAGGATGTGATAGCTCAGATTGCCCCTAGGTAAACTCTATTTATTATTATTATTTTCTTGGGAAAGTAAAATGATATGTTTACTAATAGATTTGAGAATTACATAGAAAAGAGAGAGCTAAGAAATAAATGAAAAAAAACGGAAAAACTTTAGGAGAAAAAGTTTGGACCATTCCTCCCTGGGATCATGCTAATCTTATCTGTAAGGTTCCACCGCCGCAATAGAGGATTGCTGACATAAAAAACCTTAATTTGACACCACCGCAGCGACAAAGGATTGCTGCCACAACAAAGGATCATGGCCATTGAAAATTTTAATTGGGCCAAAACTTTCATTTATTAAAGTTTACCGATAAAGGATTGCTGCCGCAACAGAGGATCGTGGCTATTAAAAATTTAATTGGGCCAAAACTTTCATTTATTAAAGTTTACCACCATCCTTACGACCGAGGATTGCCAGCGCATTCCCACAACAGAGAATCAATTTGAATGTTTCAAAGATAGATGACCAGTTATGAAGTCCATCTATATTCAAACTCCACCTCGTTTTTCTTCCAAACTCGACTTAGCTTCTACGACACTAACTTAAGTTTGAGGTAGGGTATTGAGAGATATTTTAGATAGATATTTTGGTTAATATTATTTAAATTTGATAGCTATTATTTAGACATATATATTAAATTAACTTGTTATTCTTTAGATATATCGATTATATTAGATTGTTAAATTTGAGTTTATCCCTTTTGCATCAGGTCTTTAGACTTTGATTTCATTATTAATAAACAACATAAAAATTCTCCCAAAATGTAACAAATAATAATGATAATAATCCATGTTTATTGTCAATTTTTCGTCATTTTAGCAGTAGTTCTTCATTTTTTATGCAGATATATTTTAGAAAAGATGATAATCCTGCATCACTGATGGAAGGAACATTGCTTGCTGTTGGCGGTCGTTATGACTACTGGCTTCATCAGATCTCCGGTTCTGAATATGTATGTCGTAGTCATATTTATGTTTCATTGTTTTCATTTTGTTTCTTCAGCTTTATTATGCTTTCAATGTCTATTGTCCCCATGATTGGGCCATGTTCTTTATTTTCTATGGTTTATTCATTATCGTCGTTTCATTAGGATGCCTATATTGGCTTATCCAACTATATTAAATTAAAAAAAAATCTTATAATAATAAGTTGACTAGTGCAGTATAATTGTCATTCTCTATCATTGCTTCATTGGTCATAAACCATGACTCTGAGCATAACTGTACATTTGTTCTTGTGTTGTCCTGTGTTTTGGCATAAAAGATGTGAATTTTTATAGCTTGTTTCGAGCTCCTATTCTCTTTACATATTCGAAGGAATGGCCCAAGATTGAGTCAATCTACTTAGAGCTAATGAAATCACAATATATATTTGATCTTTCATGTTTGAGGCATTGATCCTGAATCTGCTCTGCTTGAACACTTTTCTCCCTTGGTCCTGGATATAGCTTTAGCGATAGTTCATTTTCTGCAAAAGGTATTGAAAGTTGATGTGTTTCTAGTATTGTTGTCAAATAGTATATCCTGAGCTTAGGCGTATCCTATTTGTCGGAATATCACCAACAAAGTCTTATGCATTGAAGTGCTGATTGCTGAAAAACCAAAAGACATCAGGAGATTTTTTCATGAAACTTTGGGGCACTAGCTGTTTCTTTCTTCTCATGTGTGGGTGGTTAGGAGGGGTTTTACATATTTTTTCATCTTATGTGGTGTTCTTGACGTTCTCATAGCAGTCACTGAATGCTTGATTATTTCTCTCATCTTGTCAGAAATGGAATCCTCCTGGGGCAGTTGGTACTAGTATTGCTCTAGAGACTATTTTGCTCCACACTTCAGTTGACAGTAAATTTAGTAGGTAGTTTTCTCTCCTTACCCTAAAGTGCACTTTTTCATTGGAAACAATGCTAATCACCCACCCATCCACTAATAAATGCAACAATATTATAACATGAGCAGAAGTGACATTGGCGCAAATATTCTTGTATGTTCGCGGGGAGGTGGAGGCTTGTTACTTGAACGCATGGAGCTAGTGGCTGAACTCTGGGATGAGAATATTAAGGTTAATGTTTACTCTTTTGTCAAAATTACTTGTTATATGAACAATGCAAATGAATAAATGTACTGAAACCAAGTCATACAGGCAGAATTTGTTCCATTGTGTGATCCAAGCCTTACTGAACAGTATGAATATGCAAGTGAGAATGATATCAAATGCCTAGTTGTCATCACTGACTCAGGTGTATCTCAAAAAGGATCTGTTAAGGTTGGACTCCTAACCTATTTTCATTTCTTGCTTAAATGTTTTTATAGGCTTTTTTAGTTGAATATCATGTAAATAATGTGGATCAGTTGATTGGCATATGTTTTAAGATATATATATATATATATATATTGGAAAGATATGCTTTGATATTGAACTTGCCAATTTTTTTACTTCACAGAGAACTAATTTCACCATATTGTTGTTTAAGCATATACACGATAGTGTTTCCAAATTTAAGATGAAAGACATTCATTGAAACATGTGTGCCAATTCAGTCATCTGGATAGCACACAGCAGGGCCTTTGTTTTAATTAGTATATGAAAATTTACTTTTCTGAACTGTACTATATGGTATTACTATTCATCAAATTCATGGATGACTTTGCAGCTGGGGAAAAAAAATGGAGAAAAAAGTGATGTTTTGGAATAAGATTTATGATTGCTTCAATGAGAGATACAATGGACATATATATACTGGGATGTAAAGACTCTAAAATCAAGCTATGAAGCTACAATTATCTATCGCCACAATTAAGAAATTTTATCTGGTCACAATGAACGATCTCTAGTGAGTTTAGCATTTGAAGAAATATGTGTGATTTGATTTCATTATTAAAAGAAAAAATAGTTGATGTCGTTCAAGGGAATTTAAGGGTGTCCACAGTCATTTATCATGTGGAACATAGACAAACATGTGCCATTTAATAGCGTCTCAATACTTTTGTTGATCGATTTTGAATGCTCCCCCAGCTGCTGTGTTTAGATTTTGAGGATAAGGAAATTTAAAAACACTATTTTGGCCAGGAGTAATTGTTATTATTTTTTTGAAGTATTAATACGGATGATGAAGATATTTTAGCATACTTCCAATTTTCTTCATACGAACTGCTTCGGAGCTAGAAGCAAACTCTATTTGTTATTTAATAATATTCAATATTATTTTACTTGGCAATGTGTTGGTAGGTTCGACATCTAGAGCTCAAGAAAGAAAAAGAAGTTGAGAGAGAAAATCTTGTGAAATTCTTATCAGAGGCAATGGCTAGTCAATTCAGAAATCCATCAATCTGGAATTGAGCAACTTTGAAATTACTGGGTATGTATGCATTCAATTGTTTTTCGCTTGCTTTTCAAAAGTTTCATATTGCTATCATCACTATATAATCTTATATTACTGTTTTATTAATTTGTATAAAGGAAGATTTTATAGCTTTAAGATAAGTAGACATAGGCAGGGATTCAATTGAAGTCCAGGAAATTGACATCTAAATTAAAAGGTAATGCACCTTTCCAATTTAATCCTTATATTTCGTTCCTCCTAGAAAAAGTGTCTTCTCCTCAATAAGTTCCATTCCTCCCTGCCTTCTCAACCCTTCGATAACTGGTCTTCCAACTCACCCCTCAACCCCCCGGGAAGCACTCTTAAGGTTCCCTTCCCCTCCACGACAATGTCTACCACTCTTCACTTCTTTCCAACAACCCTAACATTCAAAAGAGAGCTCCTGAATCAGGCTGAAATCTTATTCTAGCTGCTTCCCAAAAGCATAGACGAGACAACTTTAGAATTGCAATAATACTTGGCCATGTAGCAGGTGATTTAGCGCTGCAATCCAGGGCTGTACTGGGAACGGAAACTGTTCAGGATCTATTGGATATATAAGAGGTGGAATTTAGTGCCGTGCTATTATGTTCGGATGCCAAGAACCTCCCTAACAACCCTGAAAAGGCGCCTGCAATGTGACTAGACTCACCAGAGTTACGTTAGTACTAGAGAAATTTTGTGACATGTTTGGTGAACCTACAGAGCTACCACCTACTCACCACAACGACCATTGAATATCATAGAAACCCCGTGTAGGCCCAATTTTAGTATGTCCCTATCAGTATGGACTAATTTACAAAGATGAGATTGAACATTTAGTACATGGCATGCTTGTCACTGGGATTATCTGCCTCAGCACTAGCAACTTCTTGAGTAGGGATGGCAATTGGGGCGGATCTCGCCCTGGACCTGCCCCAATCCCAGTGTTAATGGAGCGAGTTTGGTTCAAAATTTTATAGCGGGATAGGTTATGGGTTTTGAAATTTTAAACCCGGTTGGGGCTGGGGTGACGGGTTTAATCAAAAACTTGTCCTAAATTTACTTAAATTAATAATTAATATTATATATTTATATAATCACTTTATATTATTTAAATTTATAATTTTATACTTTTATCATATTTATTATTTTTTGATTTTGAATTTTTTACAATTTTTAATTGCGATATATCTTTCAATTTACTAATTTTTTCAACTCACTATTATTCCATTCCTTATTGCTATATCCATGTCACTCCGATTGAAAATATATTATAGTTTCTATTAGTAGATATTTTTAAATTTTAACACTTAATATTTAATGTCTTAATTTTAATTATATTTTATTTGTAACCTATAAATATAAAAATCAATATATAAATATGTTTTACAAAATAAAATGAGTTTTATGGATTGGCCCCAAACCGGGCAAGTTCAAGACAGGGCGGGGCTGAGTCGGGGCCGGGCAGGTTCTAGAATCTACAATTTTCAGGTGGGGCAGCTTTTTTGGGGCCTGCAAACCCCGTGTTCCGAACCTACTCCGTTGCTATCCCTATTCTTGAGTCTTGTTTTATCGGTTAAGAATAAAAAAATAAATAAATAGGAGTAGAAGATTTTGTGCAGGTTACTGGGAGTACAACAAATCCACCTTGGCTGAAATATCTTATCCTTGTGGTTCAACAGAAATTAGATGAGCTTTCCGCACTATAATATTTTCTAAAATCAATCTTCGCTTGGGTTATCACTTATCACCAAATCTTAGTGGCTTTAGATGACATTCATAAAACAGCATTTTGGACTTTATAGCGAGCACTTGAATTTTTAGTAATGCCTTTCGGATTGACCAATGCTCCTGTCACCTTCCAAGCAACGATGACAATCTCTTCTGGCCTTATTTGCATAAATATGTCTTGGTATTCTTTTGTAATATTTGTCCCATCGATATTTGGCCAATTGTAAGAAATGTACATTCGGCAGCCTAGCTGTGGAGTACTTGGGACGTATAATTTCTTCCGATGGGACAAATATTACCAAGATATTTGAAGTTATTCTTACTCCAGACAAGAGGAGGAAAACCATAGATCGGACACAAACAGGAACAATTGAAACTTTTGGGGACCAAGGCAGAAACCAATTGAACGCAGTCTTCCAAACAGTGCGAAGAATAACTTGGACAATTCATATGATTAACAGAATCAAATTCAATATGAAAAGTGTTGACCCATAAGGCCCTAACTTTGCGCTTAAATCCCTAGCTTAGATAGCTTATTTTAGATAAAACATAATTGAATTAGAGAAATGTCATTACAGTGCTATGCAGCATAATTAGATCTACGGTCTTATAATTGATTCGTCTTTTACAGTGAAGGTAGTTGTATGAATGCACAGTTTGAATATTTTTGGTTTGAAATTCAATGCAGAACTATGTGATGTTTATGTTGTAGTCTTATGTAATACATTAAATCAATCAGTGATTAAGCAACGTTTACAGGAAGTCGGATAAAGCAGCAGCTCTTGCTAAAAGGTTTTGTTCCTGCACCTATGATGTGAAGAGATGTTTGAAAATATTACTCGTATCAAGAAGTAACATAATTCAGATCCATCTTGATTCTATGTGGCAAGAGGTTAGTCGAAATCTAGTTAATTTCTCTTGATTTTCCCCTCTCCAGTCTTTTATTTTCTTTTCTTCTGAAAAATGAGATGTTGTCAAGAAGTCAAGAGAAAAAGTCAGTTTTCATAAAATGATTCAATTTACTTTCCATTATATTTTTATTTTATTTATTATTATTATTATTATTATTATTATTATTAGTTTATTTTGGACATTTTACTGAAGGCATGGGTTGCTTTTTCTTTCTTTAAATCATATGAAATATCTGCCTTCATGGGCTTAGATGATGTTGGCTTAAACTGAACCCATTGTTACCTTTTTTCCCAGCTGCAGGTAGTTAAGATTGGTTGCAATTATATTCTGTCTGCTCTTCAATTCCCTCATAAACTGACCAACGATCAACCTGGGTGATGGATGTTAATTTTTTGGGTTTATATCAGTGGATCAACATCTGCACCACGCTCGATCAAACAAAATTTTTGGCATTCCGTTGAATCTTCCTCCTGAGTAAGGATTGATCCTTTCACTAAAATCAAGTGACAGGTATGGTAATGAAATTGCACATATCCTGGCCAGAAATTCTTCTGCAGATTTTCATGAATCCTTTGCCTAAATTTTGTTAGGAACAATTATAAGTGACTTGATACGCCCTTTTGAAATTGGAAAATTTAGAATAGCTCATGTTACTTCAGTTTGTGTGAATTTCCATAAATTGTAGAAGTGTATGCGGTGGTGATTGACTTGAAGTTCCTTCCAAAGGTTAAAAATAAATTTTAGGCATGGTTCCTTTGTTTGGTTAACCGAAAATATTTATAAATAATTCGAATCGAACTGAAATTAATAAAAAGTTATATTAAAATATAATTGAAATTCAATTAAATAAAAATATTTGTAAATATTTCAAACCATTGAACCGAAATCATACCGAATATAATTATTAATATAATTTTTAAGATATGATAATATAAATATATTCGATTCGGTTAAAAAATATCAAAAATCGAAATTGAATCGAACTGAACAAATATAAACTATACAATATTTGTATTCGAATCAAATTTGTCGGTTAGCCGAAAATTTGGTTCAGTTCAATGGTTTGACGGTTTGGTTCGATTTTTTTGTCTGACTCCTATGTGAGAGATTGTATAACACAACAAATATATTTATCCCACTTATTTAAAAATGTAAGTTTATTTTTATTTAAAATGTTATATTGATTCCGTTATAAAATATATTATTTTAAATAGAATATTTAATTTTTTACTTTTTGTAACGAGTATTTAAAGTTTTTTTAGTATTTTGAATAATTAATTTTTTTTTAACTTTTTGACTTTAGTAATATTGTGTTATTATTATTTTTGAGAATAATCAAGTGAGAAATAGCATTGGAAGAATAGAACGATTATGTTAAATAAAAGTATATATTGTCTGCATCATTTACATATATCGATTGGGGTAATTACCATAACCATCCCTTAGAGGTGGAGTGTATTGACATAAGATTGATGCATATATGGGATGAAATTGCCAATGACTTTGGATATAGAGCAATATATGTGTAATAAATTTTGTCTCAAAGTGAGTTTGCCATTTATGATAGGATGAAATTGTTTCATTTTTTATACGTTAATTTACATATTAAGTAAATACATCAACAACAATTAATGAGTTAGAATATGAAATATCATTTTTCTTAGTAAGATAAGAATTTATTCAATCTGCATATTTCTTAAATATGATTATTGTCAAAATAATAAGAATATATATATATATATATAGAGTATGTGCTGTAGCATGTAGACAATAACATATAGCTAATGGTTTTATTGTGATTTATTAAGACTTTACTTTTTCTTTTTGTAATGATTTTATAAATCATATTTGAATATATAAAGTAGAAAAAATAAGTACTAAAAACATCCTAAATAGAAAATATTTGAGATTGTGAGAGTAGAAATTTATAGATTCCATTAACTATCTATATTAAAAAAAAAAAAAAAAAAAAAAAAAAAAAAAAAAAAAGAAGAAGAAGAAGAAGAAGAAAGAAGAAAGAAAATTGAGGGAAGACAAATGGATCTTTAGAAAACAAATCAATTATGGCATAGCGAGGGCCCAAGGTGCCGAGCCGCCGATGGCGATACTCAATAATTCAGGGCAGTTATATTTTGGAAAGTCGAAATAGTGCAATTATGACACTATTTGCTTGTTATTTTGGTATAAAATGGAATTATTCTTAGGTTGAAAGATGTCAAAGTTAAGCTTTTCTAATATCAAGAACTGGGAAAATAGTTGTGATTTTCATTCAAATTATTATTTTAATTGACTTTATCAAATTTAAATTATTAATATTTGAATTTGAATAAACTGGAGAGTTAGTTATTTAATTTAAATTCGAAACTCTTGAAAACTCCAGATTATGTACATTCTCAACGCTTGACCTTTACAGTTTCTTTCTTCTCGTTTATAAGAAAGTGATCATTCTTTTCTTTCAGACATTAATACTCATTGTTAACGCCTATAACAATTGAGTGTAACTTCTTCTTATCCTCGTACTTATTTCGTAATACTTAAGAAGTGAAAATGTCGAAATAAAGTATACGGACAGCGTATCGCGATTTGAAATTTTATCGAGTCATTGTCTTACCATACTATTCATATAGTTGATATAATATTTGTATACTTTAATTTATGTGCACAATGGTTGGAGAAACGATCAACGATATGGTGACCAAATTCGGAAGGCTGTGGAAATTCGAATGAGTTGATTTTAGGCGCTAGCAGAAGAAGATGCATTTTCTCTTGACCTCCCTCAAGGTTATGTATGTGTTGAACACGCTATGTCCAGAAGTGCTTGAGAATCCTAATGATGAACCGCTCGAGCGCACCCGGGCAAGACTGAAATGAGAGAACGACGATTACATCTGTCGTCGCTATATCCTCAAGCTATGGTTGATCATCTGTTCGATATCTACCAAAATGTCTAGTCCTCAAAGGAACTTTGGGAGACGCTCAAAACCAAGTATATGGCAGAAGATGCCTCCTGCAAAAAATTTCTGGTAAGCAATTTCAATAATTATAAAATGGTTGATACGCGTCCTGTGATGGAGCAATATATTGAATTGGTCCGGATTTTGGGCCAATTCAACCAACACGATTTAAAGATGGATAAAGCCATCGCCGTGTCGAGTGTAATTGATAAACTCCCTCACGCGTAAAAAAATGCTCAAATATAAAAAAGAGGACTTGACGATGGTGGAACTTGGGAGTCATTTGCGCATCGAAGAGTCGTTGCATGCGCAAGAAGACGGAAAGGAAAATGAGTATTAAGAAAAACAAAGCCTTAAAGTTGAATGATGAAAGAAACGCAAGCATGATGCTTTCAACAAAGGCTCCAACAAGAAGCCTAAACAAGGTTGCTGGATTTGTGGAGAATCAGGCCATTTCAAGTGCGATTGTCGTGTTGGAAAAGGAAAGAGGAGCGCTAGTGCTAGTAGAACGGGAAAAGGGTCGAAAGACCAATCTCAAAACCAAGGTACAAATTTTCTTGAATCTGAAAATACAATACTTGTTGGTTCAGTAACTTTGACTTCTAATGCGCATTATGTGCAGGATGACGCTTATACGTGGTGGATAAATTCTGGTGCCACTAGACACGTATGTAAAGATAGGTGCTGGTTCAAAGAACTCCAACCGGTGGATGATGGATTGGTGCTATATATGGTAGACTATTATTATGATCCAGTGGAATTTAGTTCTAATAGGAGTATCACCATATGTAATGTATTATATGTTCCTAGGTTGCGTAAGAACTTTGTGTCGGTCCTGTATGAAATAAGTTTGGATACAAACAAGTGTTTGAATTGGACAAATATGTCCTATCGAAACATGGATTATTTGTAGAATTTGGTTATTATTATAATGGAATGTTTAGGCTGAATTTTAATAATATTTTCAGTTCCTATCAAATGTATTTGTTTGGTATCCGAATCAAACAATGACTTTTCTTTGTGGCATACTCGTTTGGATCATGCACATTACAAAAAAATACAAGATATGTCAAAATTAGAATTAATCCCTGCATTTGACATGAACAATTATAAATGCAAAACCTGCATAGTAACTAAAATAACAAGGAAAGCTTTTAAAGATGTAACTAGAAAATCGGAAGTTCTTGAACTTATTCACAGCGACTTGTGCAATTGTCATTATGCGCCCACGTTAGGGATAAGAAGTATGTCATGACATTTATTGATAACGCCACAAGTTCTGTTATGTTTACTTGTTGCATTCAAAAGGTGAGGCCTTGGACAAATTTAAAATTTTTAAGGCTGAAGTTGAACTTCAGCTTGGGGGGGGGGGGGTTCCGTCAGTTACAACCGATTACGCACACGATCCGATAACTGATTTAGAGAACATATAACAAGCAGTTCAGATTCAGCAGAAGACATCTTCAATCAACATCAATTTCAGTAAAAATTCGTTTTGAGGATCATCTTTATTTTCTTTTCAGTATCAATTTGCTTTTATTTTTTCTTACATTTCGTACGATATTTAGGAATCTTCGATTCCAGATATTATTGCAGTCAAATTTGAATTTATTTTGGATTTTACTTTTTATTGTTGGTTGAAAACGACATCATCAACTGCAGTAGAAAATATATATATATATGTATGTGAAATAAATAATACTAACATTTTAAGGCAAATAAAGAATAAAGAAAATTAAATTGAAAAAACTCTTTCGTTGAGTTATATAATTTTTGAGAAATTAGCTTTTTGAAACCAATAAGCTATTTCAAAAAGCTAATTTAACAAACACCTAAATTAGTTTTTTTACTGATCAAATAGCTAAAAAACTGTTAAATAAACTAAAAGCTCAAACACCCCTTAATAACTAACTTTGTAGTTGCAGAATAGTTTATGCTCTTACCTATTATCCGGATATACCAAGAAAGATGTATGATCTATAAAGTCTTGACCAATTAAAGGTGACAATGGGGTTGTTTCCTTGGCAAAACTCGGATAAAGTTGAACCAAAGGATTGCAATTCAAGATAAATTCGCGAAGAAACAGTATGTCTATAGGATCCACTCGAGGATTATAGAGCTCAATTCATTATATTATATACGAATATTCCTTGTCATTTGAATTTTGATATAGTTCCAAGGGGCCTATTCTTTGACTCTCTTAATACATTTTATTATTATTTATTAATTATATATTTAAAAAATTATCGTATTTATAATAACAATAACGTGAACAATTTTTTATTAGGACGGAAGGAGTATATAATTTGATACATTTTATATTATTTATTAAATATATTTAATTTTATCTTCAAAGTTATAAATTAAATTTTAGCAACATTATTTATATCATTCTTATATTTTATTGATAAAAAATTTTAAAAATTAATAAATAATTTAAATGAAATCAAAATATATTAAAAAAAAATTTATTATAGTTATATATAACACTTATAAGTTTCTAAAAGGAATGGTATTTTAAATATTTTATTAAATATGAGGTTAGATTTTATTAATAATCCCGGAAAAATATTATGCATATGATCTGTAATTATATAAGGTCCCAATACATCATAATAAATATAAAATTAGATAAGATTAAATAATCTAATATCTCTTAGTAAATGCACCATATATATATATATATATATATGTGTGTGTGTGTGTGTTTTAAAAAATGATGAAGTAGTTTTAATTGAAACTTATTGTGCATTTTCTTATATAGTCAGTCGTTCATTCATTCATCTGTCTGAAATGACTTGATTTTTGTTGTGAGTGATACGAAGAATTGTGTTAGTAATATAAAAAAAATAATATTTTGTGTTGAATAGTTTATTTTTTATGAGTGTATGATATATATATTATGTATATTTGTATTTTTTTAATAATATTTATCGAGAATTGTTCCATTGAAATATGATGAATGAACAGACCGATTATATTTTAGTATTTCAATATACAATTACAGGTAACCTTCACTTTATCAATCAAGAAAGACACGCTAAACTAACTATACGTGCCAACACAACCTACAGGCGTGGAAAGCTTTAACTCATAACTTTCGCTTCAGCTGAATGAGAAACCGAATTGGAGTTGCCTTCTCACCAATAATCCCTACAAGAACAAACCCCGTCCTTGAATCGATGGAACCGAGTACGATCCCTAACGACAATTTCTCGATCATATAACTTAGAAACAAGCTTAATGACCACGTGACAATCCCCGCATATCCGAAGATTTTTGTTGATGTTTATCGTACTCGCATCATCCATACCGATCAAACCAAATGCCACGGCTAGTTTCTCGCTGTGATACGACAACGCGTTATCCTTCTCTTCTTCTCCTATGTCATGCAAAACATAGTTCGTGCCTGGCTCGTATCCTAACTCCCGGATTTTGAACCTAATCTCCTCTAGTTTCGCGTGAATATCTTTCCATTTAGGATGGCTTTTGTCGCCATTGTAAAACTGGACTATCGCGCCATTCATCTCAATGTAGCTAAATCCGGGCACTTTCTTGACATCCCTCGTCTTCATCGCATCTCTCACCCTCCTTACATCGCTCCACCTCTCATGCGCAGCGTAGACGTTCGATAATAGTACAAAATCGCCACAAGCAGTCGACCCGATCTCCACAAGCTTTCTTGATGCATTCTCGGCCATTTCTAAGTTCCCGTGTATCGTAGATGCACCTAACAAAGTTTGCCAGAGGACAGCATCCGGAAAAATGGGCATCGAATGGATAATATCATATGCCTCGCCTAATCTCCCGGCCCTTCCCAATAGGTCGACCATACAGCCGTAGTGTTTCATGTTCTTCCTCACTCCGTGTCGCCCCATCAATTCAAAAAGCCTCGTCCCTTCATCCACCATACCTCCGTGGTTACACGCACACAATGCAGCTAAGTAAGTGACGCCATCCGGCGCTAGTCGATGCCGATTTTCGACCATGCGGTTAAAAAGTTGCAATGCTTTGTGTCCGTCTCCGTCCATGGCGAAACCCATGATCATAGTGTTCCATGTGACTAAACTCCTCAAACATCTCATGGCCTCGAATACGCCGAACGCCTTCTTCACCAACCCACATTTCGAGTACATATCAATGACGGCATTGCAGACGATCACATTCTTGTCTAATTTTCTTTTCCGGATGTAATCATACACCTTCTCGCCCTCCTTGATAGCGCCGAGCTGCGAGCAAGCCGAGAGAGCGCCGAGGACCGTAACCTCATTCGGCATGAATTCAGAGCCACGCCCTTCCGTCATTCGATTGAACAACTTCAAAGCTTCGTACGGTCGATTCCCCTGCGCCAAACCAGCGATCAAAGCATTCCAACTAGCAATGTCCCTCACAGACATTTCGTCGAACACTTGGCAGGCATAGTCTAAATCCCCACACTTGGCGTACACATCCAGCAACGTGGTTTGGAGCAAAACATCGGCACCGCATCCAGACTTCAGCACCTCCGCGTGCATTTGAAGCGATTCGATTCGAGCCAATGCTCGAGCACAAGCCTGGAGGAAGAAGGAGCAAGTGAGAGCGTCGGGCTTGCAAGGGGCACGCGACATGGCGAGGTACCAATGAAAAGCATTAATTGGATGATCGCTCTTGGCGTGGCCTCGGATGATAGCGTTCCAGTCATTGGTGCGAGGTGACTGGAGGAAGCGGAAGACGGCGATAGCATAGGCGAGACCGGCGGCGGCGGCGGCGGAGGATGTAGCGCAGAAATCGAGAAACTTGGAGCGGGAATGGTGGAATTGGAAAAGGCCGGTGACGAGGAGGTGGGAGTGGATCTGGTGTAGGTGCTCAAGCCCAAATGAGGTGTACTTACGTAGAATTGATTCCACATATCCCATGGGAACGAGGACATGCGTATAATAGAAGCTAGGCTGTTCTTGAAGATGAAGGGAGGGAAGGCACTGCCACTGCACTGCCACCACAGCAGTATCGAATTGGCCAAAATACTGAATTATATATAGCATTAGCAAAACGGTTTGATATCGTCATCTACATTAGAGCACATGCAAAAGGGAAATTTTGAAAGGAAATTGAAAAAAAAAAAAAGCACTATGGCGCACAAATCGCTGCTCACATATATTTTTGAACTAGGGTGTTTGAAAATGTTGGTTATTTTGGTATAATCGAGAATTATTTTTAGGCCAAGAGATGTCAAGGTTAAGACCGTCCGGCACGGGTTGCGTCAAGAACTGAAAAAATAGACTACATAATAAATTGCTGGATTTATTCCAATTTTAAAATTATTATTTTAATTGAGTTTATCAAATTCAATTTATTAATATTTGAATTTGAATAAACTGGGAAAGTTGATTATTTAATTTAAATTTAAAACTCTTGAAAACTCCCAGATTATGTACCTACGCAACGCTTGCCATTTACCGTTTCTTTCTTCTCGTGTATAAGAAAGTGATCATTCTTTTCTTCTAGATATTAATACTCATTGTTAATGCCTACAACAATTGAGTGAAAACTTCTTCTTATTCTCGTACTTATTTCGTAATACCTAAGGCGTGAAAGGGTCGAAATAAAGTATACGGACAACGTTTCGCAATTGGAAGTTCTATCAAGTCATTGTCTTACCCTGCTATTCATATAGTTGATATAACATTCGTATAATTTATTTTATGTGCACAATGGCTGGAGAAACGATCAACGATATGGCGACCAAATTTGGAAAGCTGTGCAAATTCGAAGGAGTTGATTTTAGACTCTGGCAGAAGAAGATGCATTTTTTCTTAACCTCTCTCAAGGTTGTGTATGTGCTGAGCTCGCCATGTCCAGAACTGCCTGAGGATCCTGATGATGAACCGCTGGAGCGCACTCGGGCAAGATTGAAATGGGAGAACGACGATTACATCTGCCGTGGCCATATCCTCAATGCTATGGCTGATCATCTGTTTGATATTTACCAAAATGTCCAATCCTCAATGGAACTTTGGGAGGCGCTCGAAACCAAGTATATGGCAGAAGATGCCTCAAGCAAGAAATTTCTGGTAAGCAATTTCAATAATTATAAAATGGCTGATACACGTCCGGTGATGGAGCAATATAATGAACTGGTCCAGATTTTGGGTCAATTCAACCAACACGATTTAAAGATGGATGAAGCCATCGTTGTATCAAGTGTCATTGATAAACTCCCTCCAGCGTGGAAAGAATTTAAGCATTTGCTTAAACATAAAAAGGAGGAGTTGACAATGGTGGAACTCGGGAGTCATTTGCGCATCGAGGAGTCATTGCGTGCGCAAGAAGACGGGAAGGAAAATGAGTATTCTAGATCCACAATTAATATGGTGGAAGATAAGAAGAAAAACAAAGCCTTAAAGTTGAACGATGAAAAAAAACACAAGCATGATGCTTTCAACAAAGGCTCCAACAAGAAGCCTAAACAAGGTTATTGGATTTGTGGAAAACCAGGCCATTTCAAGCGCGATTGTAGTGTTGGAAAAGGAAAAAGGAGCGCTAGCACTAGCGGAACGGGAAAAGGGTCGAAAGACCAATCCCAAAACCAAGGTACAAATTTGCTTGAATTTGAAAATACAAAAGTTGCTGGTTCAGTAAATTTGATTTGTAATGCGCATTATGTGCAGGATGACGCTTATGCATGGTGGATAGATTCTGGTGCCACTACACACGTATGTAAAGATAGGTGCTGGTTCAAAGAACTCCAACCCGTTGATGATGGATCGGTGTTATATATGGGAGACTATCATTATGATCCAGTCGTAGGACGTGGAAAAGTGACACTGGAATTTAGTTTTAGTAGGAGTATCACATTATGTAATGTATTATATGTTCCTAGGCTGCGTAAAAACCTTGTGTCGGGTCATGTATTAAATAAGTTTGGATACAAACAAGTGTTTGAATCGGACAAGTATGTCCTATCGAAACATGGATAATTTGTAGGATTTGGTTATTATTATAATGGAATGTTTAGGTTGAATTTAATAAATATTCCAATTCATATCAAATCAGTTTGTTTGGTATCCAAATCAAATAATGATTCTTTTTTGTGGCATGCTCGTTTGGGTCATGTACATTACAAGCGGATGCGAGATATGTCAAAATCAGAATTAATCCCTCATTTGACATGAATAATTATAAATGTAAAACCTGCATGATAACTAAAATAACGAGAAAACCTTTTAAAGGTGTAAATAGAAAATCGGAAGTTCTTGAAGTTATTCATAGCGACCTGTGCGATTTTTATTCTGCGTCATCGTTAGGAAATAAGAAGTATGTTGTGACATTTATTGACGACGCCACCAGGTTTTGCTATGTTTACTTGCTACATTAAAAAAGTGAGGCCTTGGATAAATTTAAAATTTTTAAGGCTAAAGTTGATCTTCAACTTGGAGTTAAGATTAAAATTTTACGTACGGATAGAGATTGAGGGTTCTATGATCCACTATATATTCAATTTGTAGGAATCATCCATGAGACAATAACTCCATATACACTGCAACAAAATGGTGTTTCCAAAAGAAAAAATCATACGTTGAAGGAAATGGTGAACTCAATGATGTCTTACGCTAGATTGAGTGAAGGATTTTGGGGCTAAACTATGTTGACAACTTGTTATCTCCTTAATCAAGTTCCCAACAAACGAAACAAACTCATCACCTATGAACTTTGGTTCAAAAAACGCCCACATTTGTCATATTTGCGTGTATGGGGCTGTAGGGCGATTGTGAAAGTTTCGAAGCCTAAAATAAAAATATTGGGAGAAAAGGGAATCAAATGCATATTTATTGGTTATGCTGGACATTCTAAAGCATATAGGTTCTATATTATGGAACCAAATGATTTTGTATCAGTTCGTGTTGTTATAGAATCTCGAGATACAATATTTGATGAGCATCGATTTACCTCAATCCATGGATCATCAAGTAATGTGAAATCCATTAAGTTTGACGAGCGCAAGGACAATTTTTGTCAACCAATGGATATCACATTAGACGGAAGTAATATTCTGAATTCTGGAAATGAATTTGAGAAAGATACGATGGAACAAATTATTGAACCTTGTAGTAGTAAAAGAGCTAGGAAGCCAAAGTCGTTTGGTCCTGACTTTCAGCTTTATTTAGCTGAAAGTGCAGGGAATAAAATTTGATGCGTTGTAGTATTTTTGTTACAATGATGAGGAAGATACTAAGACATTTAGTGAAGCTATAAAATCTAGGGATGCAGCCTTTTGGAATGAGGCAATATACGACAAAATGGATTCTATCATGGAGAATGGCACTTGGGTGCTTTTGGATCTGCCTTCAGGTTGTAAACCTTTAGGTTGCAGATGGATCTTTAAAAAAAAAACTAAAATCTGATGGCACCATCGATAAATTTAAGGCTCGATTAGTGGTTCAAGGTTTTAGGCAAAAAGAAAGCATCGATTATTTTGATACCTATGCACCGGTTGCAAGGAGTGCTACAATCAGATTGTTAATTGCATTGACTGCCATAAAAAATATGTTAATTCACCAAATGGAAGTAAAGACAGTGTTTCTCAATGGAGACTTGGGTGAGGAAGTTTACATGAAGCAGCCGGAGGGATTCATCGAGTCAGGAAACGAAAATAAGATATGTAAACTCATTAAGTCTTTATATGGCTTGAAACAAACTCCAAAACAATGGCATCAAAAGTTTGATAAAATTGTATTGTCCAATGGTTTTGTTTTAAATCAATCGGAATAATGCCGGCGAAGGTGTTAGAATATGTTTGTATGTGGATGACTTGCTGATCTTTGGGACCGATCAAAGTCATGTTGATGCAACAAAATATTTTTTGTCTTCCAAGTTTGCAATGAAGAATATGGGGGAGGCATACGTAATTCTTGGGATTAAAATCAAGCGAGAATCTGCCAAGATTGTAACTACGCAATCGCATTATGTAGAAAAAATTCTTAACAGGTTTCACATGGAGAATTGTAATCCAGTTAATACCCCATTTGATCAGAGTGCAAAACTTATGCCAAATACTAGAGAATCGGTATGCCAACTCAAGTACTCAAGAGCCATAGGTTCTTTGATGTACGCAATGATAAGCACGAGACCGGATATTGCTTATTCCGTTGAAAGGCTAAGTCGATTTACAAGTAAACCAAGTACACACCATTGGCAAGCACTTAGAAGAGTGTTTAAATACTTTAAATCAACAATGAATTATGGTTTGCGTATAGTGGATTTCCTTCGATCATTGAGGGATATTCAGATGCTAGTTGGAAAAATCATATAGAGGATCACTCATCTACAACTGGATAGGTATTTTTTCTTGGAGGTGTTGTTATTTGTTGGGCATCAAAGAAGCAAACATGTATAACTAGCTCGACAATGAAATCTGAATTTATTTCTTTGGCCGCGGCTGGAAAGGAAGCTGAATGACTTCATAACTTGGTTCATGAGATTCCATTGTGGCCAAAACCGGTGTCACCCATTTCTATACGCTGCGATAGTTCTGCAACTATGGAAAAAGCTTATAGTGAAATCTATAATGGCAAGTCTCGACATATAGGCGTGAGACATAGCATGATTCGTGAACTTTTTAATATTGAAGTGATTTCGGTAGAATATGTTCGTTCACAACAGAATTTAGTTGATCACTTAACGAAGGTATTAGGTAGAGAACTTGTGCACAAGTCATCAAGTCCATGAAATTCATCTAAGGATGAGAAACCCAATTCCCTTCTAATATGACGTTAGAAGTTGAATTCAATGTAGAAAGCTTATCTTTAGTTGATTGGAACGTTTCTTAATTCATCATCCCAAGGTAAACGTTCAATCCTGTAAGAAAGTTGGGTTAAGAATTATTCTCTCAATAATTTCTTTGAAAAATTGCATTGCAGGAGCAAGATTTAAAGGAATCAACTATACAAGTATGAAGTTTTGCCGTTTCAAGACATTTAATGACTTTGATATCGATGTACTTGCGAAGGATAGGGACACAGGGCTAGAAAGTGTCAAGATTAATGTTAGGATTTGTAGACACTCATGTACATTACAAACATGTATTCTTATGAGTTGATTGGTTCAATCCCTAGTGATACTTTGATTCTCAAATAAATGTGTTGTTACGTACTAATATGAAAATTCAATCGTTCGGATATTTTCATTTATGCGTTTGATTGATGAGTTTGATTAATTTTATAAATAATTCAAGGGTTACATCAAAATGGGGGAGAAATGTTAGTTATTTTGGTATAATCGGGAATTATTCTTAGGCTAAGGGATGTCAAAGTTAAGACGAGTCCAGGATGGGTCGCGTGGAGTACGTGCTCGGACAAGCTTTCCTGATGTCAAGAGCTGGGAAAATAGATTGCAAAATAAGCTGCTGGATATATTCAAATTAAAATGAAAATTATTATTTTAATTGAGTTTATCAAATTCAATTTATTAATATTTGAATTTGAATAAACCGGAGAGTTGGTTATTTAATTTAAATTCAAAACTCTTGAAAACTTCCAGATTATGTACCTACGCAGCGCTTGGCCTTTACCGTTTCTTTCTTCTCCTGTATAAAGAAAGTGGTCATTATTTTCTTCCAGATATTAATACTGATTGTTAACACCTATAACAATTGAGTAAAAACTTCTTATCCTCGTACTTGTTTCGTGATACCTAAGGCGTAAAAAGGTCGAAATAAAGTATACGGACAACGTTCCGCGATTGGAAGTTCTACAAAGTCATTGTCTTACCCTGCTATTCATATAGTTGATATAAAAGAAACTACACATGCCCGTATTTGATCTCACAATATCCTAGCTCGTAAATGTTAAACATCGCCGTGTTTGTTTGACAACACACGACCATATTTTTAAAATGGAATAGTGCAGGGAATGGATACGGCCATGTACCAGGCCTATATAATAAACATGGCCGTGTGCCTCGCCTATACATGACCATGTTTGTCGCAGGTTATGTTTTTCTAAAACCTAAATTGGTCGAACACAGCATCGCCACAGGACAATAGCAGTTGATGATGGCAGGGGCTGTGGCGAGCAATGTTTGAGGGAGACGAGGGATGAGAGAGAAAAAGTAGCTCTTCCAACGCCCTTGTCGATGCCTCATCAGCACGACACTGTATTCCCTACGCATCGATACAAAAGCCTGAATATTTAGGTCACTACGTCTACGATTTTTGCAAAACACATGACAAGCCCCTCGGATCAGTCCGTGAAACCATTGAAAGTAAGTCAGTGTGCTTGCTTTTGCTAAAAAAGCCTCGTAGTCTTTTAATTTTGGTATTGCACGACAATCAATATATTTTCTTATTCAAATATTCATTTTTCTTTAAAATTGGTCCATCTCAAATCTTCTTTTCTTTCCGAATTTGCTGCAATTGATAGGTGTTCAAGTAGCTTAAATAAGATGACAGGAGGATTCGCCGATGATGTTCCTAGAGCAGCCGCTGGTTCAGAGAAGACGACTGACATGCCTGCAGCTGTTTTAGTGTCTCGATTATGTCCTGTGTATTGTCGAAGTCCACTGGTTTATTATGTCCTCACGGTTGGAAATTGAAACAAATAGAAAAAAAAAATTAAGAAGAAAAGAAGAGAAGAAAACTTGCCTTGCTATTGCCTCTGCTTCACCAAGCTTCCTCCAGGCTTTGTGATAAAGCCTCTAAATATAATCCATTGTGTATTAAGTTATCAATGCTCGGATAAAAGACCTCGAGGCCAAGAGAAAAACCCTTGGAATTAAATCCATTGCACATGCTCTCTAAGCAAAAGGCCCCGGGCGACGACTTCTACACCACGAGTTATTTTATATACTTTGTATATATCAAATAAATTGTATAAATATATAATCAAACTCTATTTGCATTGGTCCTACTCTCTCTCTCCCAAAAGTAAATATTTATTTGCTTTTTTAATAGTTTTAGAAATATTAGTATTATATTGGAATATAGCAGGAATAAAGTAGAAATGACTAAAATAACCTTATTAGTATGTATGATATAAAAGTAATGGCATTTGTGTAATATATTGTAAGTTATAAGGGTATTTGTAATGTTAGGTAGATATTACAGTTACTAAAAAATAAAATGAATATTTTGTTATGGGACGAACTAAAATGAAAAAATGAATATTTTGATATGGGACAGAAATAGTATAATAATTATATATATAACATAAATATATGACCAAGTTCTATTTGCATCCGAGGCCACCCCCTATACCTATTACTAGTTATTGTGTAACATTTTTGTCCATTACAAATATAAAATAAACAAATAATTTTACCCAAGTTGGAAATATTTTGATATTTATACATATATTTCTTAAAGATAGTCATCGACTCAGATAATTTTTCAAATAAATTTTCGAACTGTAGCCAAGTATAAAACCAACCTTAGCTGCACTTACAAATAACTCAAGACTTACTTACATAATCGTAGCAGGAACAAAGAACAGTTTTGAATGAATAGCACTCATCCAGATAGTATTCTTTCTTCGACTTCTATATCAGAGGTTGTGTTGCAGTTCCAGTTCCAGGGCTCCTCCAAGGCCATGGCGCTGCCACTGCCGCCGCACGTTCCCTCCAGATCCCCTCGACTTCTTCGAACGACAGCCCCTTAGTCTCCGGCACAAATATCGCCACAAATGTAAACGCAACCACAGCCACTCCAGCAAGAATCAGGAACGTCGTCCCCGTGCCCACCGCCCCTGCTACAGATAAAAACGTCTGCGCCACTATAAGATTCGATATCCAGTTCACTGTAGCCGACATGCCTCCGCAAATTCCTCTGTATGCTTCCGGATATATCTCCGAGTTCACCGTCCACGGGACAGGTCCCATTCCTGGCGAAAAGAATGCAATGTATAGAGCCAGACCTAATACTGCTAGCCAACCATAGACATTGCCATTCGTCTCCCCGCCACTCTGCGTGAACAGAAATGCTACTGCAAGGATTATTAGAGACGCTGTTACTCCACATAAACTACTCAGCGCCAACTTCCTACGACCCACGTGATCGATCAGGTATATCCCGACGATTGTACCGACAGCATTCATGAACGCGACAATCAGAGATAGGAGAAGGGCTAGTTGGTTGGAGTTGAAGCCAGCCATCTGCACGATCGTCGGGCTGTAATACATTACTGTGTTGATACCGGTGAACTGTTGGAATGCCTGCAAAGACAATAATTTTATGATATCGATACAGTTAAAAGTAATAAATTTTCACGAACATTTGGGTAGTTTTGTAGGGGAAAATAGAGGTTGCTGCACAATGCTGACAGCATACGACACAACATACGAGTCATGGTAATATAATATAAATACAAACATAATAACTTACTGTAAATTATACTACCAGCATACAACATACGATACAATGAAATACAACACATGACTTATGGTAATCTAATACAAATACAACACGTCCACACAACATATACTATCATGGATCTCAAGGGACAAAATATGTTCATACAATATACTCCATAAGTATCAAATGTCAGCACATGATTTCAATTGAAATTGTATGTTATATGCCTGTTTCTTATGTGTGCTAATTTACTACAGTCAGCACAATAACTTCTCCAGAAAATATGTACTTTGTTTACTTGTATTTTCAATCATATTTTCTATTCAAAAGAGTCATATTAAAGCTATCTCATACTAACATTTTATGATTCCCAAAACAATCCAAAACAAAACACATCTAAACACATTAAATTTTGGTGCCCTTCAAAGTTATTCATCCGCACAATTCTCCCGGTATCAGAATAAGGCTGTAGCTACAAATCACAGGTAGTATCAAGTTCAGATAATCACAGGCATCAAAATTGAACTGTCCAAATAGAAGCACAAATGTTTTGAAACACCATAGTTCAAAAACAGACATGAAACAGAAGAAGAGAAGTGACCATTTAAAACAAGTCATTTGCATCTCATACATTTGGCATGATGAACACAATATCGGGGCAATGAGGTAGTTTACTACTATAACTCGAGATACATTACCTGTAATCCAGCTCCAGCGAAAAAAGCAAGCCTCAATTCTTTTATTTTCAAGACGTCATAATAACTGACCCTACTGCGTCTTTGGTGCTCTTCCTCGAGTGCAGTGGTGAGCTGATCAATCTCCAGTTCCAACCGATATGGATCATAGATTTTTGAAAGTACGGCAACAGCTTCAGTCTTATCCTTCTGCAAGAATCATGCTAAACTATAAATGAGCTCAATAAACTCCATCAAAGAAACTTATTAAAAATGCTGATGAAGGAGGAACGACCTTCAGATAAAGCCAGCGTGGAGACTCTGGCAAACATAACATCAAAAAGAACTGAATGACAGCAGGCAAGGCAGAAACCCCAAGCATCCAGCGCCATGTACCTGGAACCTGCTCGCAAATTTACGGTAAGGTTCTCACATAATCCAACTATGTAATGGCTAAGGTTGATCTACTACAGCGTTTACTATATGTTTCTCTATCAGTACACCCAGATAAGAAAAATAATTGCTCTTCTGGAGCGACTTTGAAACTCGAGTATCACTACAGTTTAAGTCACATTTAGCAATAAAATGGATTAACAGAAGATGAGAGAAATAGAACTCTGAATTGAACTATATAATGAAGATAATTAGTGTAAAGTGTTGAAAAGATCATATATAAAGCTTCAGATTTCTACAAGTATCGTAAGGGCACATATGAAGGTTTCGTTATATAATTAATTTCACAAATCTTCATATAGCATGCATTACATAAGCACAAATACTAAATACATTATCTGCACAGTCTTCTCTCTCCTTTCCCCCTATCTCCAAAAAAAAGGAAAAAAAAAAAGAAAATTGCTAGGAACATAATGAATTTCAACCAATAATTTTCACCCATGAAAGTACAAATACGAAATACAGCACTAACTAGGAGCCATTATGTCAATCAATCTAGGGTTTTAAACACAAAGCCAATCTTCACAACTACAAACTCTGCCATCCATGCTTGAAAGTAAGACTAACAAAGGAAGAAATTTTAGCTGCATTGAGCAAAAAGAGAAGGAAAATCGGGAAATCGAGTGCAATTTATGACAAAGATTAAAAACTCTAAAGCCATGAAACTTTTATCGCCTCATACCAGCTTTCTTTGAATCGTGATGGAACTGCTTTTAATGGCAAGATCATCTTGATTACTGCAGCATATGAGTGGTATGCAAAGAACAAACATCTTGCTAGTCTACTGACCCAAATATTGACATCTAGTCAGTATCAACATCAACACTTCAAGACCAAGATAACGAATATTGTAGAAAAGCAATGGACAGTTGAACTTACACATCGTTTGGTATAGAAAATGGAATTGCAGAAAAATGAGAGTAGAGATTGGAATTGAAGGAAAATAGAATTTAGTAGAGAATGATAATTAATTATTTTGTTTCGGTAAAACAAAGAATTTGTAATGTAAAAAAAATACAACTATATGGCCGGATTGATCAAGAATAAATGATAGAATTTTAAAGAGTGAGAATCCATGAACGAATAATTTTGGTGATTTCTTTGCTTAAATAATAAATTAGATACCATGGTTTTTAAAATCAGGTTTTAGTGTAATTTTTTAAAAAATCATAAAGATTAATACTTGAAAAATAAATTAAATGTAATATTTTGTAAGATTGAAATAGTATAATTTTTTTTTAAAAATTATAAAATTTAATTAGTACAAAAAAATTTAAAATATATATACTGTTTTAATATTCATATCTCTCTATTTAGCTGGATAGAAAAGATAAATGAAAACAAGAAAATGAAAATGACTTATTCAGCAAAATTTTTACAAACAAATATTTGCTCTCAATTCCCTGTACCAAACACATTCTTAGTTTTTCACAAATATAAATTAAAGAAAATAAAAATTAAGCTCTATCAGATATCCACTATAAGATGTTGAATATATTTTTTGGAAGAAAAAATTTGTAAGCAGTTCATATAGAATTCTTGACGCGCAAATGATTTAAGGAAATCATGCTATAAATCTCCACAAGAGAAGTCTCAATGGTAAAGTCTTTCAAACATAACCTATATATGATATTTAGCGGCGAGATCCTCCTACAACTAGAAAAAATAGGGCCCATAACATAAAACTAAGGACAGAATGATAGAAACATTCCATGAAATGGAACCTCATGAGCACTAATAAATACACTTGATATTATGTGATTAGACGATCATATTATTTGTTAGAATTAGAAGAATGAGTTCATTATAATTGTATTGATCCTTATCTGTCACAACTATTCAATATAAGTATAAAAGGGTATTTATTGTATTTGTCTAAATTATATGAGCCAACGCTTTTGGACAATATCCGATGGTTGTCAACCTAATTACCTACCTTTACTTGTACCGATGACATTTCAAGTTCTAACACTTATCATCACCATCAATCAGATGCAACTGCTCTAGGGCGTGACCATGGAAATGCTTCAATAGAGTTGGAACTATTTCAGACTAGCTTCAATAAAGAGATACGGAAGAAGATAGGTAATCTAACTCTCATCATCTTCTCTCCTAAATGTCATAGTTAAGCAACACTCAAAAACCTCATGCACATTTTCATGCAACTCCCAAAATACTGAAAGTTAAATAATGTGAAAGCAACTTACTCTCACAGAACCAAACGCGTTCACTGAAACTCCGCCTTTTGAAGTATGAATTGCATAGTGCAGTTGTTCGGTATCTCAGTGAAGAGAGAAAGGGGATTACAAATGCCGTTAATGCCCAAACAAACACCAGAGAATTCAATTCTAAAAAACTTGGAAAAAAACATTGACAAAAGTAGCATAAACAGTGTAAAAGAAAAGAAACACCAAACTCTAGCAGACTTCAATAAACAATTCGAATGGAGAAAGGTTGTTATGGTTATAAGTTACAAAATAAATAAATAAATAAATAATTTTAATGATCTGAGTTGTGTAGAAGTTGGTTCAATGATGTAAAGATCAATAGTTTATTATTTGAATTACCTGCAGGCATTATTTAATATATTATACCTTTTTTATGAATAGAAGTATTTCATTTACTGTAGGAATACAGTGAAATCTCAGTTTTTATTGCAGAAATCAGCTAAAACAACGATTTAAGACAGAGAGCTGCAATCAAATGAATGTGCAAATACACTAACCTCCGTAAATGCAAGGTTCACAAGGTAAGAGAGAAACTGTCCACCAGTAATCATAAGGACATTTGTGCTAACTAGGCCTCCCCTAATTTCTGATGGGGAGGATTCAGCAATATATACAGGAGCAGTGACTGATGCCACCCCCACACCCAGGCCAACCAATAGCCGTCCAAAAATAAGAATGTACGGATGTGGAGCTGCAGCCATGACAATCGATCCTAGTGCAAACACAATGTCAGCATAGAGAGTTGCTTTCTTACGTCCATATGCATCATTAATCCAACCCCCTACAGCAGCTCCAATCATGGCACCAACCAAAGCCATGCTGACGATTGTTTCCTGTAAAGTTTTTTCAAGTCAATCTTTAATGAACTAAGTGCAAAAGCTTGATGAAATAAAAGATCCTAAATGGAGAACTGAGGATGGTAAGCCATCCACTTCACAATTACCTAATTTTGAATCTTCTAAGTTATAACAAATACTGAGAAAATCCCTTCAATTTTTATTGTTACAATGTTGGGGGGATGGAAAAGCAACAGAGCCCGACAGAGTAATCTTTCCAACTTTACATAAAGCTACAACACAAAATAGCCATTACAAAACACATCACTTACATCATTAAACAATATTTGAAAAAATTTAATAACACAACAAGATACAATGATTAAATAATCACCCTTCAAAAAAGAATATTAAAAATTTTCCCAATCATGATTTGGCACTGTAATATCATTTCAACGGTTTCCAGATATCCAAAGCAAATGGATGAAAATACCAGAGAAACATTAAATATAAAAGTTGCTGTTGTCTTATATTCTAATCAAATTCCCAACAACAGTTGATCGTTTTGGTAAAAAGTATAAATACCACCAGATTTGTTAGACATCATTAGATTTACACAAACCTGCAAAAAGCTACTCTGGTTGACCTCTTCAAATTCATCTCGAATATACAGAAGGGCTCCAGAAATAACTCCTGTCATAACATCATAAATTTGAGAAAGATGAATAAAATATATTTACAAATATTAAGATAATTAGTGCACGTCGAAAAAAGAAAATGTGAAAATGGAATTCACTACAAGAAAAACAAAAACAAGCTAAAATAGAGCTAGAAGAAGGCTAAAATCTATACTAATTACATTTAACTAAGTAATGGAAAAGAATACCAAAATGAAATTTCATCACAGTTATAAAATTCTTGAATTAAATAACTAACACTCTAATTACTTGGGTTCTCCAGCGCCTATTTGGGCCTTTTTTTTTTCCTAACATTTAACCAAGATCAGATTCCTACCCTCCGTCCACCAGCACCAGTCATCCACAATTGCCAATCTGCTGTCTGACACCGCAGGTGCCGCCACCCAGACCTGCTTGTTTTTTTATTGCAGCCAATTTCCAGCTCCACCTTCAGTAGCACGCCATACCAGTAGGTTCCTGTCATCATGACACGTAGGTCAGCGTTGCCACCTCCTACTGCTGCCAAATGTTTGCTGGATTTGTTCTCAAGAGATTTTTCAATTGTTGTCTCCATAGCTGACTCATCTGAACTGCCCAGTTTCAGGCAATCACTACTCATAAGTTACTCTATGCATCCAATTATAGATCATGGGTTGTATCTATACGACTCTAGTTCAAAGGCCAGTCCAATTATCTCACATGGAATTGGAAATTACAAAGTTAAGTTCTAAATGTTCTAAAATTAATGCCCAACTATGTGTTCTCCTGTATAACACTTTCAAGCCAACCATACTTCCAACATACAAGTCCTTCGAAACTTGTCATAAAGTGTGGACTAAGGCTGCTCAATTTATAGAAATGATATTCAACACTATAATGATATATTTTCCAGTCTTTTGATTTGCCTATATATGTAAGTAAGCTGGAATCTATTCAGAAAGGGTTTTGTTCTCTTATTTTTACTAGTTCTATGGATCCAGAGGTTGTGTGAAACAAATTCTTCAACGTTATGAAACCTATTCATCTTGGGCCTAATCTTGACCACATTCATGATCAAATGCTTCGAAGTTCCACTACACTTGATGATGCTTTTATTCGTCCAGTGCTCTAGTGGTATTTGTGGTGCTCTATTGGGTTTGTTGTTTTTATTGATGACTCCACTCGGGGGTATATACATCACCCCACCTAGGGCCCGGGTTGATATGGGCCCCGGCAACATATAGGTATAGGGCGCCGCAAGGCATATATATGCATTGTTTGCTCTATTCATTATCATTTCCTAGTTTGGACATATTAAGTCCTTGATCGATCAAATGTGTTTTTTCTTGCATATTCTCATATTCAAAAGAGTTACTAGTGTTATTCACCTTTTACACATTGACATTATTTTAAATGCATATATCCCCTTATTTGAGTTGTCGCCATTCTTTGTAGTGTCAATTTCCTCTTCCCTTTCATTTTCAACCCCCGTAGCTCCAATTCCAATTGTTGATGGCTTGGCTCCTATTCCCAATCCTCTAGTCCAGGTTTGTCGCCAGCAAACATTGCATCATCAAAATCCACCTACTTCATTGCCGTCTTCTCAATCTCTTGCCCCCATTGATGACTCGCCCTTGGTTCCATCGTTTTCCATGCCTGCAAGCCCATCATTACCTATTATTTTTTGTCGAGGTGCTCAGTCCCCTTATAACCTTAATCTTGTTTATCATCTACTTAGTTACACCATTTATCGTCTTCATTTTGTAGTGTTTATATACTTTAGATTTTGTTTTTGTTCTTCCCACTTGCCTTAAGGCTTTGGATCATTCAAGGTACTGTCAAACAATGGTGGTGATAATGTTTTCTTTGTGCACTACTAATACTTAGAAGTTGGTTTCATTGCCTCTGGGCAAGACACTTGTAGTTTGTTGATAACTCTAAATAATAACATATTTATTGCTTGATAAAACTATTTATTTTTTGAATTTTTATATGAAAACCATCATAATATTTGATTTATGGCATACTTTATTAATTTGTTTTGCTTGATAGGATCCAAAGCCTATTTGTGGATATTCTTGATTTTTTTTAGCCTTTTTAAGCGATGCTCTGGCTCCGAAATTGTCTAAGTATGGAAGACTAACGAGGATACAACGAACTATAGCAAGCGACGCTCTTTCCGCTTGCACCCAAGCCAGCGTAGCCAGACATCCACCGCTGAGAGCGAGATCCAAAAATATCAAATTTTGCCTAAGTGTTGATCTTTCAGCGGTCAGCCATTCAGTTACCGGCCAACAACAACAGCACCGCTTGAGTTGTACAATACGCTCCAACTATGCCAAGTCTAGCCAGGCAAACAAGGAAGATTTGTGCCCTGCTGCTCTGTAACCGCTCAACTACTGTCAACTGTCGATACAGAAAGTCTATAAATATGGCCAAATTTCTTTAGTAAAATACACGACATTCAAGTGTTCTTATTGCTTACACTCTACTCAATTTCCGATAGCTCCAATCCTGTAAGAGAATTCTCTTAGTTATAGGAGGTCGGGGGAGTGAAGACTCTCTCCTCCCTTGACTATCTAGTTTAGCTGCTTTCGTAGACAAATTTATTGCTTTGTTACTGCTTTCATTTTATGTTGACGTAATGTAGATTCACTGTTTTTTGTAGCTGTTAATCAAATATCATAATTTCTTCATCTGTAATTTCATCCTCAATTTTAAGTTTATATTTGATTATTCAAGTTTGGAATCTTGATATGTTGTGGAAAGTTCTTCAGAAGAATGGATTATCTAAGCCTAATTCTGCGTCGTATTCATTAACAGATTTTAGGTAGTTCATAGCAGTTAAGTACGCGGGAGCCTTGTCGATAAAAGATGTATCAAAAGGGTAAAGCCACTAATGAATAGGTTTTAGAATGATTATTGGGCATAGACGCTTGTTTATCGGATCTCAGAAATGTCTAGTGACAATAGCTTCTTGATTATTGTCAACTTGTATTTTCTCTCTTATACTTTTTATCTGTGCAGGTCACAGATATATATATACATCAAAGGAGAAATATCTAGAGACACTATTCAATACTCTACAAGTTTCTAAAACATCCTACATTTCCTAGGACAACAAGTACGCTATGCTTTCTATGACAATAAGTACGCTATGCTTTCCCAGACACCCATCATAATTATGCAACATATTCCAATAAAGTTAACACTCCCCTTAAAGTTGGTGCATAGATGTCTGTCATTTGGTGAAGAGGTCTACTAGTTGATCTTCTGTCCGAACAAATTCTGTAGTAATTATATTTTGTTGCATCTTTTCTCGCACAAAGTGACAGTCGACTTTGATGTGTTTCGTGTGCTCATGGAAAACTGGATTAGAGGCGATGTGCATGGCGGCTTGGTTATCACAGTATAGCCTCTATTTTGATTTCTTACAAGAGTTGGATAATCCACATTAATTTGCAAGTACCTTGGGCCATAGCTCGTATTCTGATTCTAAACTTGAGCGGGAAACCACACTTTGCTTTTTGCTTTTCATGTGGACCTTCGATCTTCTTTAGAACCTGCCCAATCAGCATCTATTGTGCACTCTATCCTCATATGTCCATGATTTTGGTACAAGATCCCACGACCTGGAGCACCTTTTAGGTAGCATAGAATGTGTTCCACAGCCGCCCAATGATCGTTAGTAGGAGAAGACATGAACTGACTAATGACACTTACTGGGTAAGCAATATCCGGCCGAGTGATTGTAAGGTAATTTAACTTCCCAACTACCCTTCTGTACTGTTCAGGGTTTTTGAATGGTTTTTCTTCATTTGTCAAGTGAGTGTTTGGAACCATGGGAGTATTGAAGGGTTTTGCGCCTAACTTTCCTGTCTCAGCCAACAAATCTAATACGTATTTTTGTTGAGAGATAGATCTCTTTCGTTGAGAGAGATAGATCTCCTTAGCAAGATCGCCATGCAAAAAGGCATTTTTGACATCAAGTTGATGAAGCGGCCAACCATGTGTAGCAGCCAGAGATAAAAATAGGCGAACTGAAGTAAGTTTGGCCACAGGCGAAAATGTGTCAGAATAGTCAACGCCATAAACCTGTGCATATCCCTTAGCAACCAGACGTGCTTTCAATCATGCAACGGATCCATCCGGGTTCATTTTAATAGCAAACACCCACTTACAACCGATTGGCTTCTTTTCAAAAACTAGATCCACCAAGTCCCACGTCTGGTTTAGATCCAACGCATTCATCTCGTCTATCCTGGCTTGACGCCAACCAGGGTGAGAAAGAGCTTCATAAACGGATTTGGGAAGGGTAATAGAATCAAGTGATGCGACAAAAACAGAGGCAGGACGAGACAACTGATCATAGAAAATGAAATTAAAAATAGGGTAGGTGCAAGAGCGAGTACCTTTACGAAGAGCAATCGGTATGTCATCTAGTGTTGTAGAATCTGGAGACGAAGATGATGCTGCCATCAGGGAAGAGTTAGAGGCTGGAGCTGGATTTGTGTGGATCTCAAGAAGGTGACTTTGTCGCGTCGAGAGTAGACATGGTGAATTGATAGCCGTGTGGCTGGTGGAGACTCCCCCTGTTCTTGAAGGTCAGGGGAAGGTGTTAAAGGGATGTCCTCAAGGAACGTGACATCGACAGACACTATATTTCCCAAGGCTTGGACAAAAACACCTGTATCCCTTTTGGACGTAAGAGTAACCCAAGAAAATACATTTTAATGATTTTGGGTCAAGTTTAGTGACATATGGATGTGTATTTCGAACAAAGCATGTACAACCAAATATTTTTGGAGGCAATGGATAAACAGGCTTATCAGGAAAGCGAATATGAGAAGGTGACTGACCGTTTAGAACAGAGGACGACATCCGATTAATGAGGAAGCAAACGGTGGAGACAACATCAGCCCAAAAATGTTTAGGGACACTCATATGAAATAGAAGAGCTCAGGCTGTTTCAAATAAGTGCCTATTTTTTCTTTCGGCAACACCATTCTGGGTTGGAGTGTCAACATACGAAGTATGGTGTATAATACCTTTTTGTTTCATAAAAGATTTGAAATGAATCAGACAGATGTTCCTTAGCATTGTCACTTCGTAGGATTTTAACTTGGAAACCAAACTGGGTGTGAATTTCAGCACAAAAATTTTGAAAATGTGAAAACAGCTCTGATCGATTACGCATGAAGAAAATCCAAGTCATTCGAGAGTAATCATCAACAAATGTAACAAAATATTTAAACCCTTGTTTAGAAGGCAAAGGACATGGACCCCAAACATCCGAATGAACACGATCGAATGGGGCTTGGACACGATTGTTCTCCCTAGGACTCAAACTAACACGATGATGTTTAGCAAACTGACATGATTCACAACTGAATGAAGATAAATTTCTAAACCTGGGGCACATTTCTTTCATTTTCTGAAGGGAAGGGTGACCTAGCCGACAATGAGCTTCAAAGGAGGTTCTAGTACATATGCAAGTGATGGGCTTTTGGTTTGAAGTGTCAAGGGTATACAATCCGCCTGACTCATATCCCTTGCCAATGATCTTCTTTGTCTCCGAATCCTGGAAAACACAATGCTACAGTTTAAGGCACGAGTGATATTACTAATAGAGATTAAATTAAAGGAAAATTGAGGTAGGTTCAAGACAGTGGATAACGAAATAGTTGGTGTAATATCCATAGTTCTTGACCCGAAAACTTGGGTAGTGGATCCATCTCCGAGGGTAACTGGGGATTGAGAACAATGTGATTGATAAGACGAGAAAAGATTAGGATTACCTGTCATGTGATCCATGGCCCCTGAATCTATGATCCAAGAGTCGGAGGATGTGACAAGACATGTGCTGGAGTTACCTGGGTTAGCCATAGCCGGGATAACAGTAGATGAATGCGTTTGGTTCTCTTGAGACATGGATAACTTGGAGTTTTGACCTTCCAAAGATGCTACATGGGCGAATTGATCTTTCTGCATAGTGAATTGCAACTGTCTAAGTATTTCTTAACATGCCCTGTTTTCTTGCAATAGTGACATATGATGTTTGGGCCACTCTTATATCTTCCTTGGTGATTTTCACATTTCGATGGCTTGTACTCTTTCCTGCTCACCAAGGCTCCATTGGAAGAGATTGGATGGGAGTCGGTTAAGAGGACTCTAGAGAATATGTCCTGTAGAGAGGTGATGTCGGAGCTCCCCAGTATTTGAGATTTTACTGGTTCATACTCGCCTCGGAAACCAGCTAAGAAACTCATGATGACCATTTGTTCCCATTTCTTTTTTTTGTTCTCTAACATCGGCACAAAAAGGCATAAGTTCATTTAACTCTTCATATGTCTTTTTTAAGTCCATAAAATAATTCACAAGGGATTTATCTGCCATTTCAACCCGATAAAAAGTCTTGCACACATCGTATATCCGGGTAGCATTCTCTTTACCCGAGTATAAAAACTCCAAATATTGAATAAGTGTTTGACACTATTGCAGTGACTCATCAAACCATAAACCTCGGCATCCAACGAATTTCTGATCTGGAGAAATAACCTTGCATTATCCCGAAGCCATGCCCTTCTCTCTTTTTCATCCGTAGGTGGATCCTTTTCCAAGTGATCATCCTTCTCAATACTTAGTAAGTATAGCTTCACATTTTTGCTCCACTCCAAGTAATTCAATCCATTAAATTTATACTCAGTAATTTTGGATATAACTGGAGCAACTTCAGATACAACAATAGCCTTGTCCTTACTCGTGATTGAATAATGGCAGAACAACTTGAAATTCCAAATATTGGCAGAAACAATCTGGAATTCCAAATATTGGCAGAAACAATCTGGAATTCCAAATATTGGCTGCAACAATATGGAATTATTGCTTGTCGGAGCACTGGATACCACCCGCTGGAGCACCCAGCACCACCACACACACATGTGCGTGAATCTGGTTTGAAACAGAAGCTGAACGCGTGATTCACACGCTCGCTGGAGCCTCGCCGGAATCTCTCCGGACCACTGCCGTCGAGGTTGCCCGTCATCGCCGAACATCCACTCGCCGGAGGTGAGATGAATATTGGCCTGAGTCTAGAAGCAAACAGTATCTCTGCCCTAGGGCTAGCTCTGATACCATGTAAACTTATATTTTCTCTCTTATACTTTATTTGTGCAGATCACAGATACATATATATATATATATATACATCAAAGGAGGAATATCTAGAGACTATTCAATACTCTATAAGTTTCTAGGACATCTTACATTTTCTAGGATAATTAGTACGATATGCTTTCCCATGCACCCATCATAATTATGCAACATATTCCAATGCAGTTAACAGTTATAATAATATGAATCGAGGTCACTGGGTGTCATCCTACTGTTAACAGTTCTGGAGACTATTCAATACTCTACAAGTTTTTAGGACATCCTACATTTTCTAGGACAATTAGTACGATGTGCTTTCCCATGCACCCATCATAATTATGCAACATATTCCAATACAGTTAACAGTTATAATAATATGAATCGAGGTCACAGAGTGTCATTGAAGTCTTGTTGTAAATCCCTTAAGGTCAAGAGTCAGCGAGTCAAGAACCTGAATTAAATGAACAAGTATGATCACATCCATTTCTTCTGTCATTTCATCATATACATATATGTTCCGTTCCGTTGATTCACTTTCATCATCCGCTCATTTCATCCATGAGAATCTAGCCATTAAGTAACGCCCAGATCACACACAAATATCTCTATACATTTTATCCGTTGATTTACTACCGCTCATATATCCACTATCACTACTAGTCGCCGCTCGCAAATCATCTTTCATTCATAGCGCCCTGCTCGCAATGCATTCACAGCACTCACCGCTCGCAAGTTATCACCCTGCTCATGACCGCTGCCCGCTCACCTTTACTGCTTTGTTTATAATTCTTTTTTTACCGCATTCGGCTTGCTCACCAGAGAGCCCAATTACTGCTTTTCCGAATCAGTCAGACTTAGTAAATGTTTTCTTTGGTTTAATTTTATCATTTAAACTCCCTGCCTGTGTTCGACCTGAAAATTCACCAGTATAAAAAGTATAAAATAAATTATAAAATAGCAAGTTTACAACGACATCATTTCCATCAATTCAATGTCTGATCATTTTCCATAAGACAAGATCTAATACAATTTCAATCCATCAAAAATCTTAATATTGCCGAAAGCCATATATTTTTATCATATCACAATTTAGCTCCCATCACTTGTCAAGGGTTTTTGCAGTGGAAGTTAGCTCTGATGATCACATTGATAGCCTTGAAGCTCGGATTTCGGCGAAGGACTTTACTTAATATATGGCAAGAACTATACAAAAACTTAGCCTCAAGTCGCCAAGATGTCTACCGTCAACCTATTTTCTCTCTACGGTGGCTATGTGTGAGTGGCATAAGAACATTTTCGTGCATTGTGAACTTCATAATGAAGTGTATATGGAGTAACCACTTGGTTTTATCGTTCAGGGGAAGTCTGATTTCATTTCTCGCCTTCGTTGCTCACTCTCTAGCTTCAAACGAAGTCCACTCCACCACAGGCATGGTTTTGATGATTTTGTCTTGTTATTCAAGAATTTGAGATAAGACAATGTTCATCTAATCATTGTATTCTATAAGCATGCCCCATGTGACATTATGTATACTCTGTATTTTTGGATAAATGTATTTTTAAAGTTAGGTATTGTGCCGATAATATAAAAAATAATATTTTGAGTTGAATTATTGACTTTTGTTGATGAATAAAGTATATATTACATATATTGTGTTGAAATATATATATTGCATAAGGAATCGTGCTACCCAAAAATAAGTTAGGTGAACAAACTCTTAATTGTCTATGTTTATGATGTTGGGGATGATATAGATGACAACGCATCCTTAATTATTTTCAAACAAAAAGTTTAGGACCATCATAAAGGAAGTGTGTACTTGATATGTTGGGAAAAACATACATGACATAATATAATGTTGTAATTCTCCTATAGACCCAAATATAGTTGCTTCCCGAATAAAAAGGAGCCCTTGCCTGATGTTGAACGATATAGAAGGCTAGTTGAGAAGTTCATTATTTGTCGGCTAACCAAATATTTTTCTTATGGTAAGTGTGATAATTTAGTTCATTTAGTCTCCATGTAACTATCATTAGAAAGCAGGTCTCTCGGGAGAGGTTTACCATATACATACCATAGTCATTCTGAAATTAACGGATATTAATATGTTGATCTCCACTTAATAGGAATTCTAATTGACGCTCTTGTGTGTTTGTTAAAGGTATTGATATCTTTGTTAAGTAAGAAACATGAGATGGTTGCTTGTTCTAGTGCTAAAGTTGAGTATCGTATCATAGCCCAACTCAAGTTTTGCAGGGTCATGAAGCTGAAATTATGATGCCATAATCAAGCAACACTTCACATTGCATTAACCCAATGTTTCATGAACGAGGGATGCATATCGAAATTAATTGTCAATTCATGAGGGATAAATCTCTATTTAGGTGTAAAGACACAAGTATGTATTTTTCAATGATCAGCTTCCAAACATATTAACAAAAGCTCTTGGAGGTGCATCGACACTAAGTATGTAATTTCAAATGTTTCAGCTTCAAATTAATTGTCGCTTCATGAGGGATAAATCATTATTGAGGTGTATAGACACCAAGTACGTATTTTCAAATGATCAGCTTCCAAACATATTAACAAAAGCTCTTAAGAGGTTTTCCGTTCCAAACTATATGTAACAAACTTGAGTTTTATGACTTGTCCGCTCCAACTTGGAAGCGACTGTTAGATTAGACCCGGTACTTACTTTTAGTTTAGACCGAATTAGGCTGTGTATATTTATGCCCCAAACTGGATTTGTATATGAATTGTTTACCAAGATGTGCAGGGTATCCCAATAGGCCAATAGTTTTCGTAGATAGCCACTTTAGAACCAAAGTTACCTTCTCACCAATAATCTCTACAAGACCACAACCTCTTCATCACAATAGGGACCTGAATCATGCTTAATGTACAAAATAACTTCAGCCCAGTGTACTATCAGATAAATTTCAAATGCCCCAATTACCAACCACATCTTCAAGCTCCAAACTGACAATCTCCATGATTTTTTTCATCATCTTAACCTTCAAAGATGTGTGGTTCCAATGGTATACACATATGATGGAAAGAAAAAGTTTCGAATTGATAAATAAACTTAACATGATTCTGTTAAATATGGCCCTTTCCCTTTCCACTTAAAATCAATAAGCTTTTATTTATGTTGATTTTATCTTACATCAGCATCTCCAGGAATTCAAGATCACAAAAAGCACATCAAGAAACGCAGAATCGACCAATTACCAGTATCATAACCGAAGAGCAGACCGCCAATACCAGCAACCACAGTCAGCCCCAAAACATAGTTGTTGCTGAAATACGTCATCCTCCTGTAATTCTCCCCAAAATTACCCGAACTCCCTCCCACAAATGATTCTATCGTCATCTTGTGATTAATCAGTGAGCTGATTAGAAACTTTTATCTCTTACCAAACACTAATTTTTCGAAATACTAAAAAAAGCCCAGAAACCGATCTCGTGAGCGAAAGGAGCTGCGTAAAGCCTAAAGATTGAACTGAACCTTGTGGGGAAATTGAATTGTGCACTGAAGCTAATGAGAATTACTGAAATCGCAGATAGAGAAAACTGGTTTTCTTCTATCGACAACGACGATTATTTGGATAAACTCGTCTGCGGCCTTCTATTTCGATTATTGTCACCGTTCGTATTTATTGCAATTTCATTTTCTCCCGACATCGTCCATTATTGTCCGAATCCAAACACTATTGTTTCTACAAACCGGTACGACCGGCCACCACTCCGGTCCGATTTGCATCTTTAGAAATGGTAGAGCACGGTTAATGTTTATAGAATTTTGAAATTTTGAAAAGATTTAAATATAAATTATATATTTGTTAAAATCACCACCGAAGGCTTAATCGAAAAGCTTGTCGGAATTGATTTAATTGTAGGGTTCCCCGGCCTCCTCAAGAAAGGATCCGGGCTATCTCGCGATAACCGAAAACTTGATGAAAAAAGAAGGTAAAATAAACAAGAATGAAACTGAAAATTAAATTGGAATTAATCGACGAAAACTGTAAAAATCTGAAAAAATTACAAGAAAATAATGCAAAGAAAAATTATGAAAAAAAAAAAAAAAAAAGATTCATGATGAATGGCGTCCCTTTTAATTTGTTTGAATAAGATCTTATCCCACTTTTTTCTCCAACAACTCCAATAACTTCCAAACCACTTCTTTGACTTTATTACCTCCATTGACTACTTCCAAGTGACCTCCTTGAAAGATGGGCTAGACGGGTCAGAAGGTCCGTTTGCTATTTTGCATCGTATGTTGGGCCGCGAATGTCCTTGGACTTAGGCTGCACTTGCACTGGGCCGACCTAATTAATTTTGGGTGTGTACAATATTATTAAATTGTATTTTCAAATTTTTATTTTTATTTACATGATTATTTTCTTTATAAAGTCATTTTTTTTACTATCTACATTTTCACATTTATTCATCCAATATTTTTTTATGATACGACTGTATAAGTATTTTAAAAAAATACAATATATAATTATATTAATATATATTACTGATGCGATTTTTCAATATGAAATAAATTTATTTAAAAACATTAAGCAAACAAAACACTCATTGTAATTTTATCTGTAATATGATTTTTTAGATAATATATTTTGATAATTTTTTATAAAAAAAAAATCCAAATTTAAGGACGCTCAATGAAAAAAAAAGAATGACAGAAAAGTGCTTTGCATACAGAAGGAAAACAGTTTTTTAGGTGTGGAAGTTGTGACGAATCTTGTTGATAGAAAACCAAAGAAATAATAATAAAAAAAAAACTATCACTGTTGTTGAATTGGTTGGATCTTATTTATTGTAATTTGAATTAATAATTTATTTATTTGACGGACTTATTTAATTAAATGAACACATTAATTTAAGGTAATTAATATGTATTTTATTACAAAATAGATAAATACATATTAATTACAATTTTTATTTAAAAACATCAAACTAAGGCTAATTGTAGTTTTTGTATGTGACATGATTTTTTAGATAGTATATTTAGATAAATTTTTATAGTTTTCTCTTTTAAGTTTTTTTTTTTTTTTTTAAGGATAATTTAACAATTCAAAAGAGAACCAAACAAATTCCGAATTTATTGCAAATATATGGGTCTGCAGAGAGACGAAAGAAGAATGACAAAAAAGTGTTTTGCTGACGGAAGAAAAGCCCGTTTGTTAGGTGTGGGAGCTGTGATGAATCTTGTGGATAGAAAAACTGAGAAATAATAAAACAAAAAGTTGTCATTGCGGTTAATTGGTTGGAACTTATTTATTGTAATTTGAATTAATAAGTTATTTATTTGATGGGGCTGATTTTATTAAATTAACACACTAATTTGACATAATTAATATGTATTTTATTACAAAAATAGATAAAATACATATTAATTACGATTTTTTATTTAAAAACATTAAGCGAACAAATGCTAATTGTAGTTTTGGTTTGTGACATGATTTTTTAATAGTACATTTTGATAAATTTTTTATAGTTTTATCTTTTTTTTTTCGTTTAGGATATTTTAATAATTTCAAAGAGAACCAAACAAACCGTGAATTTACTGCAAATGCGTGGGTCTGCAGAGACATGCCCATTGTAGAAGAAGAATGAGAGAAAAGTCCTTTGACGATAAAGAAAAACTATTTTTTAGGTGGGTGAGTTGTGATCAATCTTGTGGATAGAAATGAAATATATAATAAGATAAAAAATTGTCACTACAGTCGAATTGGTTGGACCTTGTTTATTGTAATTTGAATTAATGATTTATTTATTTGATGGGACTGATTTAATTAAATTAACACACTAATTTAATACATATTAATTATGATTTTTTATTTATTTAAAAATATTAAGTGAACAAACCCTAATTTTAGTTTTTGTCTTTGACATGATTTTTTAGATAGTATATTTTGATAAATTTTATATAGTTTTATCTCTATTTTTTAGGATTATTTAATAATTCCAAAGAGAACCAAACAAACCCCGAATTTATTGCAAATATGTGGGTCTTCCGTGACGACACTCAATGAAGAAGAAGGAGAAGAATGAGATAAAAGTGCTCTGCTGATGGAAAAAAAACCGTTTTTTTAGGTGTGGGAGCTGTGATGAATTTTGTGGATATAAAATGAAAGAAATAATAAGACAAAAAGCTGATTTAACACACTAATTTAACGTAATTAATATGTATTTTATTACAAAAATAGATAAAAAAATATATTGTATTTATATTTTCTATATCTGTAAGGACGGAGGGATTATAGAACAAGAATAAGAATTGAACCCAAAACCTACAATAAATATAATAGCAATTTAGCTATTAAACTATACTTTCATTTTAATATAAATTTATTTTTTAATATATTTATAAAATTATTTAATTTAAAATATTTTAATCTTAATAAATCTGGCCGAGTTAGGCATAGTGTCGTGCTGGGCTGGCACAATCCAAAAATTTTCAAACCTATTTTTTAGGGTTGAGCACGATTGTTTTGTGTTGAATTCGAATTGAATTTTTGGATCATGCCTACATTTGACAGCTCTACGATGATGGACAAGCTTGCCGGCGACAATGACGAACTTCACGAGGGTTGGATAGAAAAGATTGAACGCAAAGGATGAGGAAATTAATCGCGATGTATGAAGCAAAATTGATTTGCAAAGGTAAGTAAACTTTTCAATTTTGTTATAAAATAAGAAATAATAATACTACAATAAAACTCTTCATAATAATACATGAGGAGGGACTGACTTGCAATAATATAATTCTTTTAAAAAAATAACAATTCAATACTATCATGTGTTGCCCCTTCGTTGGAGGAATTAGGGGGTCGAGAATAATAAGAGCAAAGACATTGACTTTCTAACAAAAGGCCTCCCACCTAAAATAACTTTTTTTTGGTCAATATAAAAATTCGCACACAATAAGATCAATTTTGAGGCCAAAATATCAATGCTCTATGTGACGGAAAGGTTTCATTGATAATGCACTCGGCATATCTCCAATCCATATGTCCTATAGCGATTTATATAAAAGAAAAAAAAAACACACATTATAACATACCTGGATCCATCGAGTTCCTTGATGTGGAACTGAAAACTCAAACAATTGGTATTACGGCCTTCCTCAACTAAATCGCCTAATGGGTCTTTCGTAATCTATTCCGATGGGGAGAATAGAGAACAATGATTGATTTAGTGTATTGGTGACCAGAATCGAGTGTCTTTTATATAGTGATCAATTGACCACCCATAATCACCTAATTGATACGCTATTTGGTATCTGCTCAATTTATAACATATCAATAAGGTAGTAATCGACTTGTTCCACAATTAAATCACGTAATTTAAGTCAATCAAATAAATAATTGATTATTTCTATAATCAAATATCGTAATCTAAGTCAAGCAAATAAATGATTGATTTTTTTTTATAATTAGATTACGTAATTTAAGTCAATAAAATAAATTAAAAGAGCTAATATAATTGTACTTTGTAATTTGCCTATATTTAGATAAGGAAATATATATTTTCCTAATAATCTATCACTTGGGCAAATATTATTTCCTGAGCAATTATAACATCCCATCCATAGTTGCGCAACTGTATGCTATTCATTTTTCGACTACCTTTAACAATTCTATCCACCACATGCACTACCAATGGAATCACTGAGGCAGTCACCGTACTATAAATTGTGGTTAAAGCCCGACAATCACCATATTAATACACCATCAGTGATATGGATCAAATATGGTAAGCAGCATGGAAATTTCATGCAATGTGATCAATATCATGTCTATTTCCAACTGGTCCAAATTTAATGAGATCAATACATAATAACTTAAATTGAATTCAGAGTAAAATAAATCCATCAACTTTATTCTCGAGAAAATTGGACAATACAAATTGAAGGTTTTCCACATAGAACATAGACTCTCACTAACCTAGGGCAACATAAGAAGCAACACCAATGTGAGCAGTATGTTCATGAAATACCTTAGATGTCAATGCCTTAGTTAGTGGATCAGCTAGCATATTATTCGTTCTTATATGTTCAATAACAATTTGTTTATTTTGAACTCTCTCTTTAACAACAAGAAACTTAATGTCAATAAACTTTAACTTAGTTGCACTTGAGTTTTTATTGGAGTAATGCACGGCTGAGTTATTGTCACAATATTTTTAATGCCTCTTGATGTCATCAATTACACACAATCCAGTGACAAAGTTTCGTAGTCATATTGTGTGATTGAAGGTCTCATAGCAAGCGATAAATTCTGCAGTCATGGTAGAGAAAGTTACAATAGTCTGTTTAACATACTTCAAAGAAATTGCCCCTCTTGCTAGCATAAACACATATCCTGATGTGGTGCGTTTACTATCTTGACATCTAGCAAAGTCGGAGTCAGAATATCCCACGATCTTCAAGCTTTCTGATCTCTGATAAGTGAGCATATAATCCATAGTTCTCTTCAAATAACGCATTACACGTTTGGCTGCTTTCCAGTGTTGTTCTCCTAGATTGTTCAAATATCTGCCTAAAACTCCCACTATAAATGCTATATCGGGACGAGTGCATACTTGAGCATACATAAGATTTCCTATGGCCGATGCGTAAAGAATCCTATGCATTTATTTTCTCATG